CAAGGAGCCACCCTATACCACCACTACCACCAAGGAGCCACCCTACACCACCACTACCACCAAGGAGCCACCCTATACCACCACTACCACCAAGGCGCCTCCCTACACCACCACTACCACCAAAGAGCCTCCTTATACTACTACTACCACCAAGGCGCCTCCCTATACCACCACTACCACCAAGGCGCCTCCCTACACCACTACGACCAAACAGCCTCCTTATACTACGACTACTAAGGAGCCTCCGTATACTACAACAACGACCAAGGCGCCTCCTTATACTACCACCACCAAGGAGCCTCCCTACACTACAACAACGACCAAGGCACCTCCCTACACTACTACCACCAAACAGCCTCCATATACTACGACTACTAAAGAGCCTCCGTACACTACAACAACGACCAAGGCACCTCCCTACACTACAACAACCAAGGCGCCTCCATATACTACCACCACCAAGGAGCCTCCCTACACTACTACGACCAAGGCACCTCCTTATACTACTACCACCAAACAGCCTCCATATACTACAACAACCAAGGAGCCTCCATATACTACGACTACTAAGGAGCCTCCGTACACTACAACAACGACCAAGGCACCTCCCTACACTACAACAACCAAGGCGCCTCCATATACTACGACTACTAAGGAGCCTCCGTATACTACAACAACGACCAAGGCACCTCCCTATACTACAACAACCAAGGCGCCTCCGTATACTACCACCACCAAGGCGCCTCCGTATACTACAACAACCAAGGCGCCTCCATATACTACGACTACCAAGGAGCCTCCGTATACTACAACAACGACCAAGGCACCTCCCTATACTACAACAACCAAGGCGCCTCCGTATACTACCACCACCAAGGCGCCTCCGTATACTACAACAACCAAGGCGCCTCCATATACTACCACTACCAAGGAGCCGCCATATACCACCACTACCAAGCCTCCCTATACTACGACCACCAAGCCACCACAGACCACCGCCTGCAAGACATTTACCATCTGCGATCCACAGATATACCTACCCACGGGTATATGGCAGACGCTGGCCTTGGCATGAACTACAAGGCTACAAATTACTAAAAGCAAGGACTCAAAGAATCCTCCAAAGAACGGGGGCGCGGGAAATGGGACCTAAACTGTCTGAAGTGGAAATAGGTGTCGTTTGCTATCCTCCATCTTTGCATTTTTCGCTATTCACTCCTTTCCCGTGTCTGCGCCTTGACCTTTCGTATGCGGGTTTTCTCTTGGCTTTATCTTGTCCACACTAGTCTGGTACCTAATGCCTTTTCATTCATTCGGTTTAGTATTGTTGTGAGTTGTAATAGTTAATAATCCTGAGATGAAAAAAAATAACAAGTTCTTTTTTCTGCAACCTGATTCTGGTTCACGTCTCCCTTGTAAATTCAACCTCCGAATGGAGTAGTCCTAGACCTTACTCGATGTTAACAACTCATGAAACACAATATAAGGTTTAGTATCGATCCCAACTGGCTCATTGCAACATTTGGGTATCCATCCTTCCATCAATCAAAACCAGACTATAATTTTTTTTTCCTTTGTCTTGACTTCCAGCGAGTCAAGCAACCGAACGATTCACTTGAGTTTGCCCCCTCCCCTCCGCGCGGCACGCAAGGTGGAAACTTCCCTCCTCCCGTGATAGTGGAAACAAGCTTCTCTGGCCAGTCTCGCCTACCGTGGAAATCGACCCTGTTCAAAGCCCCCCGCGAACGGGACCAGCGACGGGAATCCACGAGTCTCACGCCCAAAAACAACCGTGATGCCCAGGTGGTTTCCTTGGTAGAGTGGTTCCGGGATGGACCGGGTTGCGGGTTGCGGTTTGCGCGGGAGTTCGGTCTGTTTGGGTCTTTTGGGGCGGGGCGGCTCCTTCTTGACCGTGGTTCATAGGCTGCGGTGCGTGAACCGTGGACGGAGCTTCCACTCGTAGTTTCACTCTCGGCCGTAGACGATATCACGTCATTGTCTTTGCCGGTATAGAAGGGGTGGGGAAGGTGGTTGGTCTCTGGGGTTTCCAGTGGATCTTAGCTTACTGATGAAAGTCTAGTTTCGTAGGTTGGGAGATTGTAACCATTGGTTATAGGAGGGGGGTTGATTTGTGATATACGAGGACTTGAGGGTCTCTAGGCTGGTTGGAAGACAACGGGACTGCTCGTGACAACGATGGAATTGATGGGATCACGAGGTGGATTGGGTACCTAATAGTATGGAGCTTTCAACAATCATTGACTAGAGCGACGATGACGACATCGTCGTCATCGTCGTGGTCAAGCTCAACTCTGGGATACACAGAAGCAAATCGACTCCACTACAGTACATCTAACACTCGCTCTTCCCGACAGTACTGCCAATTGGGACCGTTCCAAAAATACTACAAGTAAAGTCCATGTCAGATACAGAAAGGGTTAACAAAGAAGCGAAAAATTACAATCCACAAAGCCCATGATCAAACCACATAGTCCTCGAAGTTGGCGTCCTGGGGATCGCGATCCAGCAAGAACGCGAACCGCCGGGCATTCCGCTTCAGGTACTCGGGCACGTCCGTGACGTGCGCGACCTTCTCGTACTCCTGGCCCTCGCGGTCGAACAGGTCGAGGCCGTGGCGCACGCGGCGCACAATCTCGCGCGGCTCGACGAACTCGGGCCGGTTGTACTCGGTGTGCGAGAAGCCGCGGATCTTCTGGACCAGCTCCGCGACCCGCGAGAAGCACGAGCTGCAGTGCCAGCTGGCGTTGCCCAGGTCGAGGCCCGTCGGATTGCCGGCGCTCTGCATGCGCAGGTCCTCGGGGAGGATGGTCCGGTCCAGGCCGGCGTAGACGGTCGCCTGCGGGTGGTGCCAGTCGCCGCCGACGTGGTGCCACTGAAACGAATAGTAGTAGAAGCGACTGCGGAGGGTGACCCGCGGCGGGGTGACACAGTTGCGGAGCAGGGTCAGCGTCTCTGGCCGTGGGATCTCGTCGGCGTCCGAGACGAGCAGGATGTCGTCCGCGTTGGGGCGCGCGGCGCCCAGTAAGGAGGGGAAGATGGCGGTGAACAGGGCATTGCGCGTGTAGGCCTCACGCTCCCAGGTGCTATTGTGGCGTAAGGGAGCGAGGTCCAGCGCATGGTAGAGGATCTTGGGCGCAAACCGGGAGAAATTGGCGTAGTGGTTCGCAAAGTGCAGGGGCTTCGGCTGCCCCGTGAAGGTCTCGGTGGACTCGACGATCACAAAATAATCCACTTGGCTGTCTAACTCATGCATACGGATCTCAAGCCAGTCCAGCTCCGTGCTGAAGGGGATCAAGTCGTAGATTTTACGGCCCTGGGTGCGCTCGCGCCACGGCCGGAGATCGTGTTGCGCGCAAAGGGCTTCGGCTTCGGCTTCGGGGAGGTAGTCGTGGTGGTGGGGATAGGGGAGGATGGCGGCGGGAACAGCATCATTAGCTGAGAGTGAGGATGGAGGGATCAGCAGGTAGGGTCTAAGCAGGAGGCATGTTGTGGTTAGTAGCGCGGAGAGGAGAAGTGTTTGCTGTAGTCGTTTGCTGGACATTCTGAAGAGTGGTCGGGGGATATGGTGAACAATGCCCTTGAACGCGTTCCTCTCAGAATTCAATTTATGAGGAGAAGAACAAGAAGGCATCTGTAGGTTTGGGGAATCCCTTCGCAGTGAATGCGATTTGTAGAGGTGGCTTGAGAGGGGACGTAATACGACAAGACAATGCGAACTAATCTTTACACATGCATGGCAGAGTGTAGTGCGCGCGATGGGCCGTTAGCACTCAAATGTGCACTTATTTCAATTGGGCCTAGTAAAGTCAATGAAGAGGCAGTAGGTATCGTAGTCATAGGTATTGCTGGAACTCTTCGGACCCATCCCAGAAAGCTTTTTTGGATCCAGAGAGGACGTGTCTAGATCCCTTTGATTCAGCATCGGATGATTGATTACTGACCGGCGGGGCACCAATCACTCTTCCAGTGTATACGACAGCGATCTTGGATTGCCATTACGATACTAGATAACAGTGCTCGTGTGATCGTCTTTGGGGATGACAAGCATGTTCTGGCCACCTGTTACGCTGGTCGAGACCTCGGTCCGAGTGGGTTTACGCAGCCGCGCAGGTTCCGTGGTTAGGGCTCATCCCGGTTCGAGTTAAGAGCTTGCATGCGCGATTTCAACATAAAAGTTGGTCACTGCAGTCATGACATCGAAGTTTCTTTGTCGGATTGTCTCTAGGAGCTTTAAGCTCGCGGAACGAAAGCTTATATCCCCACGGTACTCGATGGGATCGAGATGGAGGGTCTGCAAGATAAGCATGAATTCAAATCCGCGGTTTTTAACACAGAGCGCATCATACGGTTGCCACTCCCGCAGTTGGGCGAAAATATTGTACCAGTTTTCTCACCACTAATCGCCATTGGTTCTCCTTGTCATTAGACTTTGGGACTACCTAGTACTTGGCTACTATTATTTGGGGTGTGATGTAGTCACTGTGGGCAAAAGCACTTTCACGAGGGGAAACCACTACTACTGAAGTTGATTCCACATCCCCCCTCTTCTAACAAAGAAGAAGATAGTAATGATGATACCAAAACATAAAAATTCGAAAGAAAAGAAAGGAACAAGGAAAATTAGATTTGGCTTGATTAACTTGACTGTATATGCTATCAGCTGCGTCTTGCAATGCTTGTAGAGTCTGACAACTGCTCCTATGAACTTCGAGAACCGTATCGCACGCTGCAAGAATTCTGAACCATCATGCGCCATTGCCATCTGATTCGATCGTGGCTTACAAGGGGTCAATATTCTACGATCCCACGATATGCAAAGCGAACTATCGAGCATCGCCCTTGTGCATGGCCGCGGTGTAGAGAACAATGCCCAGAACCGCCAGCAACACACCCAGAACACTCTCCGTCGCCATCGCCGTCGAGCTCCGCATCCACCCCAGCGCAATGACGAGGCACGTCTTCAACTGCCCCACCACCGTACTGGTCACTGCGCCCGCGCCATTGATTACGTGGAAAGACGAGAGGTTGATCAAGCATGCACACCCGCCACTCAGCAATAAAAGACCCCATTGGTTGGGGTGGATCGTGGCCCAGACCGGAAACGAATCGGTGACCAGCGAGATACTGCCGATGAAGACCGCACAGAAAGGGGCTTGCCGGTAGAGAAGTTGAATGCTCGAGATGTTGAGACGCGAGTGGTAGTGCGCCACCCAGACGGTGTACAGCGCAGAGCAGAAGACGCCGCTGAATGCGTAGATAATTCCCAGGGCAGAGGTCGAGTCCATGACCTCCGGGCTTGAAGGGAGGGTTCGCTGGCGGGGGAGCAGGTCGGCGTAAGTCACGAGCCCCACGCCGAGACAGGCGGGCACAAGCGCAATAGCCGCGTGAAGAGGGATTTTGGAGTTGTAGAAAAAGAGGTTGATGAGCACGGTCAGTGGGGTGAGGAGGATGCGGACGATCTGGTAGCAGACGATCGAGCTGTAGGCCAGTGACAGGTTCATCAAGATGATGTTGGCACACATGATGAGCGAGAGGGGTAGAATCTTGACCAGGGGGGTTTCTGTAGGCGTGATTTTCAGGATCGAGGCTCGTTGCACAATGAACAGGAGAATCCCGGTGATGGTGAAGTGATACGCAACGAAGCTGAAATGACACTTGGCGAAGGCAGGATCTGAGAAGATGGACTTATTGATGTATACCTGGTTCGTCAGCTAATGACTCTCTCTCGCTCTCTCTTTTCTCTTCATCGCTGTGTAACTTGAGTAGTACCGCATCTCGGTCGGACTGACACTCACAATTGCAACGGTTGCGATAATATTGATGACTATCCAGACCCGTGTGTGCTTGCTTGTCTCCGTCCGCCCGGCATCTTCGGGGCTTGGAGGTGGAGACAGGGCCGCACCGATCTCAATATGCTTTTCTTTCTCCATGACGATATTCGTTCGCGAGGAATTAGTGTCCCAAGATTGAGGGGGGGAATGGCACGGCCTTAATGATAGATAGATGCTGAGGCAAGTGAGAGAAAACACGAGTGTGTTATATTGCCGCGTCTACTCTGGATTGGAGAAAGGCATGAGCCGTGAGGTAATTGACTCCGTATCCGATCCGTGTCTTCTGTGTGATAGGATTTAAGTTCTGTAATCCGTGGGCCTTATCCGATGAACCACACCTGAATGTTGACCGTGATCTTCTAGTTTCTTTGTCGCAAATTGTCGCAAAAGGAATCTAGACCGACCAGCCGACCAAATTGTCTTCGTGGGGATCAGAAGCATATGTATCACCCGGACCTTCGGTTAAACCACGGATCAAGATCTTTCCCTTTCGTATCCGAGCCACGAGCTCAGAGCATAGATGATTTCATCGTTTAGGAAGGCAAGCTGATGGCATTGGCGTACTCGATTGATTACACCCCGAAGGTTTGTCGCCTGTCACTTTTCGTGGAGTGGAATGTAACATCTCCACCAAACACATTCCCTGCTTTGAGTCCCCGCATATCATAGACTATATCTCATGTCATCGGGAGTCCATGCCGGAATTGAGTAGGCTGCTCGAATGCGCAAGGTCTTCAATCAGGTTAAGCAATTGTCGGAATTATTGGTATATCGAGTTATCCTCCTTTCCGACTGCACTAGTGACTGTTTAACCAACTAACACAAGACTCCTAATATGAGTGAACTCCATCACATCCTTTAAAAACCATCCCAACCCAACTGATGATCTGTCATAAATCTGCATATCGTTCAAATCACCGGAAAAAAAGATAACTTGCACCATGAAACGGGTTCAGCTGAAGATCGCGGAACGAGTCTTCATTCTCCTGTGCGTGACCATGCTTGTTGCTCTCAACCAAGAGAAGCTCCATGGCCTGCGACACGTCGGCGTACAATATCTCTCCGACCCCCAGTGCCTCAAGATGGACCAGAACCTGCACTCACCCGATCCGTCAAGCAAGTCGGCAGGGCCAGTACAGCTACTATCGCCGTGCCCCTTCCACTTCCAAAGCTCCTCCAACCAGCCCCGATCGCCGATGATCCCAGCCTCCGACCCCAAATTCGACCCCGAGCCATGGAGCGCATGCCTTCCGCCGCGACCCAAGTCCCGCCAAACCGGCTTCATCGGCGTGTGGTCCTCGGCCAAGGACTTCAACCGGCGCGCCCTCATCCGGCTGACCTACCTGCGGAACAAGCCCCACGACCTCGACGTCTACTTTGTGCTCGGACGTCCCGAGACCGACCAGGAGCAGACACTGGTGGCACTGGAGATGGCTGCCTACCACGACATTCTCCTCCTCAATATGACGGAAAACCTGACCGAGGGGAAGACCTTTGAGTTCTTCCGCACGGTCGGCGTGACCTTCAAGCCGGGCGACTATGCCTTCGTGACCAAGATGGACAGCGATGTGTGGTGCGAGCTGCCGCAGTTCACCACCCAGCTGCAACGGCTCCTGTACCAGAAGAAATCCATGGGGACGTACTTTGGCCGGGCCATCGGGGGTTACTTCATGGCCGGCATGGGGTACACCCTCTCCTGGGATCTGGTGCGATGGATCGCGACCGATGCTTACCCAGACTCGCACCGGGACGGGTTCGAGGACCAGTTGGTTGCGGACTGGCTGCATCACAGTGGGCTGTTGGTGCATTTTGTGTCTGAGGAGGCGGGCATCTATGATACTCCGGACTATGCGGGGCATGGCGATGGCGGGTGGGCGCAGAACTATACCGACCCGACTCTGATTGTGCATCAGCTGAAGTCGGATGAGTGGTTTCTGAGGACGGCAAAGTACTTCCTGGGCGGTGTGGGTTAATGCAGATATCGTCGTGTACTGTATCTAGTATAAATATACAGATACTCTATTTGTACGCATCAAAGACCGTTTCAGGTTCAGCGGTTATGGTCACTGATCCCTTCCGAGAAGAGCGCATTGCTTGAAGAGGAGATCATCTGCTAGAGATCACTTGATATCCTGGAAGATCACTATATTCTGCAGCGAGAGGAGGGCGATGGATTTGAGTGAATGCATGTTTGTAGGTTTTGATTAGTCGGAGATGGGCTCAAGATGTCTACTAGTACTTTGCACTGTGAAACCATGCGTGTTGGAGGCTTTTATGCGGCGGTTGAAGCCCTATGTATATAGTCAAGTATGCATGCTGGGCAGCATTGGCGCCAAGCTGGCATCCACAGGTCATTCAGGATAATAAGAACAACACTACCACGCCCTACTCGGCATGCTGAAATTCAAAGTTATTATGACTAATTTTACACCCAGGCAATCATTGGATGCCGCTCATTCAACACGAAAATGCTACTCATGGGGATATCACTATGCTACCGCACCTCAATGAGACAGCACAAGTTGCTAATACTGTCAAATCGAACGTATTCTTTAGGTTTCTCGCGTCGTGCGAGAACTCATGGGAGTTCGTGTCTAAGATAGATGATGATTCTTATCTAGATACTCGAGAATTCTCCGAGGAATTCATCAAACCTCTGTTAGAAAATCCCCAACCGAAGAGAACAATGATTGGTCGCCGTCTCTACCACCACGACCCAGATTTGAGTATACCTCATAAGATGAAGGATGATGATACGTACCTTACGGTTGCTGGACTTTTCCGGCACCGTGAGCATAAGTCTAGTGTGACCTACTATTAACAGTCTATATGACTTGACCAAGAAATTGATGCTGGTAAACACAAATGTGTATGCATTTATCTCAAGCATGGATATTGAAGTAAATGTGAATCATGAAAATAGGGCTACCAGACCTTTTCTCTTAATATCTAGTTTCGTAGACTTCGGCTTCACATGATGGAGGCCTTTAATCAACTATTAGAATAGTCACATTCTTGGCATCCACGAGAAAGGGAGGAGGTTTATTGGAAATAGAGAAGACATGTACATCATATGCAACAGATTAAATAAGTAATAAAGTTGTGATTCTTGCTCCCTTCTCCATTTTCCTAAATTTTACTTCACTTCAATGGCGCCTCACATTATCTCATAAAGAGACGCCAGGCCGCCATCCAGAAAGGCTTTCCTTCAAAGTACGAAAATGCACAACTACGAGACCATTAAACCTAAAACATACTTGCGTAGATAGATAGGTCGTTAGAATGGCGATAGATGAGAACAGTAAGCACCGGTTGTGCGGCGGCTACCCAAATGTGGTAGTTGAAACAAGATATGGCATAGAAGCAATGCTAGTCTAAGAAGAGATTGATCAAAAGGAAGGAGTTGAGGCTGATCGAAAAATCGGAATAGGGAGGAAATTTACTATAGTGCTAGCTCCTTAACACGAGGAGCTCGATTAGCGACCACATTACCTAGAGACCTAGCCTAGAAAGACTATTTTCTCATACCACCTTACCCTCCAAGGCCACTCCACAGGACCATCTTAGAGTATTTCTTGCTAGCTGGACAGTTCAGCGTATCGAATGAAGACATAAAATAGCATGAATCAAAATATTCACAAATGATATGACAAAACCGATTCCCACGAGCCCGTTCCCCTCACCGTTGGGCTCGAATATATCAAGACTCATTCGAATTCCCCATAGTCCATTTGACAGTCACTGTACTTGCAGGAACAGAGTTTTCCTGCCGTATCGCAGTACTCCCCCGTTGCATTTCCCAGCTTGAACCGCAGAAGATGGCGATCATAGCCAACTTGTGCGTTGGTTCCCTTGGCTTGCTTTGTCCAATTCATATCTTCTTCCAAATCCGGGACTTTACCCACATCTTCCATGCCTTCTAATTCTCGAAGCCATCCATACTTTGCCCATACCAACTCTGTTAAAATGTGATGCGTCTTATACTGATGGATAGCAACTTGCACCTCACCATTCTCGTTCAAAATCTCCCCCCAATCATTAAACCTCACCATAGGTGTCGTCCCCACTGTACCTAGCAAGGCATCTGCATTTGGAACCAGCTCAGATTTACCAACTCCAGCTTGCCTGAGCTCTGTATCCAAAATTCCGGAATAGAAAATGTGTATGTGAGTTGCTTGATCGTTGCATTGGAATTCACTCTTCGTTAACTCTGCAACCATCGTCCGTAAGTAGATCGACATTGCGCGGGAAGTGCCGTACGTACTTCCCGCACATATTCGGTCCAGTGTGTTATATCTAACTGCATCATCGCGGGATAGATATGGTGGATCCAAGGCACTAGAGCAACTATCGAACCACCGTTGATGCACATTGCATTGTCCAATTTTAAGGCCGCGCCACTCAGCGAAAAATAGAAGTTCAGTGCTTGTGGGTGTGGTCTGGGAGAGAGTGAATGGATTCCTTTGGAAAAAGACATCCAAGTCACAGACCAGAACGTTGTCGAAATATTCTGTGTTGTTGTGGAGCACAGCGCTGAGCCCTTGAAATCGACGGGCAACAACGTGAAGGTCTGAATCTGGAAGAGCGCCAACAAATGAGAGGAACGGGTAACGGCTCATTAATATCCGAAATCCTGGCGGTGGGTGGTCCGCAACCTCTGCAGGGACAATAATCTTGACTTCAACGGGTAAAGGCTGACAGGAAGTAGTCATTCCGCCATCTTGCTGTTCGTTTTGGCATCGGGTAATATCAAGTGCGTCTCTTCCCAAAGCAACGTCGAGAGACTCCATGAAAATGAAAAGTTGGTCTTGCCATTTTGCACCGTCAAGAGCGGACAAGATAAGATTCTTGCGGTGGGAAACCGCATCGGGCGGGATTGATTGCAAACGTGACCTGATTGAACTTGTATTCAAAAAAAAAGGGTTTGAGTAGAGAAGGTAAAAATTGGAAATGACGGAGAGGATAGCCAATACAGCCAGAACGACTCTGGAGAATTTCTTATTGAAGATCCGACCAAATCTTCCCGCAGGTAAGCTTAGGTACCGCATGCTTCGCACCTGACCAGATGGTTGAGTTATACAATCCAGGATCTGGCCCAGATAGATATATAGCCAGCCAGCATCACCCGGTATGTCTGAGTTAGATTTCGCCGGAAACGAATATGAAGTAGGCCTAAGAATGACATCAACGACTTGACAGAAACAAAGAAAAATGTCTAGAACATGTGATATGTCCTATATAGATCGCATTATGGGTTGCAAAATCCCGCTTAAACGATGAATCATAAAGTCATGCTGATGAGGAAACATTGGCACAGCTTGTCCAAATTCAGGACCTTTAATTACCCGGTTCTCGTGTTCACTGAGGCACGTTGCCTTGGTTGCTTGGATTAGCTCGCTACACACCCCACTACGACACAAACAATAAGATAGGAAAAATACACCAAGCAGAATAATAAACGCATATTGTATTTAATCTGATAGGAAATTTTCATGCTAAATGGAATGCAGGTTCTGTAAAATAGTCTTCAGATTTAACTACAAGCCGGTTTTCGGAGGTTCGATCCGGTAAGCCGGAGAGGATCTTGCCACCTCAACGCCGCACTTAACATAATTCCACGCTGATCTGGATCTGGACACACCCAAAATCGCGTGTCTCTTGCCACCTTGCCAAGACCATATTTGCTCATAGATGAGCCCCTACCCCATAACATGGCCAAGCATATCTACATAGAAAATATAGGATATAGCTAATTGCATGTTTATTTACAGCCACACGATAGCTCGTTTCATTATATAGAACTTTAAGGCTTATGTGACAGCGGATAAAAGAGATCCTGTATATTAAAGTGTAATTTACATTCCCCGGGGAAGAGGGCTTCCCCATCATATTTTGGGAAGATCGCCTTAAAGTGTAATCCATCAAGATAGCCGATTACAAAATTATATCTCGTACAATATAAATAGAAATTATGACAATATATGGCAATCAACTAATTAGTAACTTCTGTCCTATCTCGTGAATCTCCTGTGAATATCCTATCAAGAATCCATAAGACCGACCATGAAGTTACTTTTGCTAGGTTTCAAGTCCGCTCTAGCAAAAGGTTATATCATATCTGGGATAAGCAATTACGGAATGGTGTAGATAAGAAACAGACCGAAAATAATATGGTCAAAGACTGCTACTGTATCCATCTATTGAGGGAAAATGGCATGATGCATCATAGATTATCTTCTGAGCTTCTGTCAAGCAGCCATAGTGTGTTGGAACTATTGGGATGTTCGGACTTTTCCCCAACTGGGTAAGTCTAATCCCTGTCACTCAACCTGCAGTTAGCACGGACGATTCGGCCCAAGGGATACTGCGTCGCTTACGGAATCTTTTCTCCGGTTAAGTCACATAGATACTGTACCTAGTATAGCATGATGTTCAATGCGCAGCCAAGGCTACACAATCAGGGTACCGATCAGGGGGTTAGGTCACACCCTCTCAGTCTGATGCGCCGTTAGACACGTCAAGTTCAGAAGAAACCACATGAGGAGAGAAACCTTCACAATGAACACCTCTGAGCAGAGAGCAACCAACGCTAAATCGACATAAAAGATATCAGCTCATTCTAACGCAACCATCCCCCAAAGGTCATGCCTCCATCTCAATCCCTTCCTCCTTCTTCTCCTTCTTCACACTCCTCCACCCGACCCCCCACGCGAACACAAACTGCGCCACCGACAACGCCGTCGTCAAATAAAACACCTGATCCACGCTCTTCGCGAACGCGCGCACCACCGCCGGCAAGTCCTCCGACGACACCACCGACCGGAACCCCGTGGCGCCCGCCTGGATGACCCCTGCCGCATCGACGCCCGCCGCATACCGCGGGATCTCCGTGCGCAGCGCCTGCGCGAAGATCACCTCCGCCACCGCCAGAAAGATCGCCCCGCCAAACGTCTGCGCGCAGGTCATCATCGCCATCGCGGTGGAGACGTCGTCGCCTTGCACTGCGTTCTGGATGGCGATCATTGGCTTGACTGTCTGTTAGTTTGGCTGGAATGACTGTGGTTTGCGGAGAGGAGGAAGGACTCACAACTTGCGAGATCGCGCCGCGCCCGAATCCCACCAGCGCCTGGTATCCCGCCCACTTGGGGACGGAGGTGTGCGGGCCCAGGGTCGAGAGGAGGCCGTTGCCCACGGAGTCGAGGATGGCGCCCAGCACGCCCCAGGGGAGGTAGTAGCCCAGTTTCGAGGCTGGGGGGTTCATTGTTAGCTTTGCTGCGTCGTCCACAGAAGGAGTGAATGATGAAAGGGCTACAGGGGAGGAACGCACTCAAAACCCCCGACACAACCGCCATCACCAACTGACACAGGATATTCGGCAGCAGGTTCACCCCGCTCACCAGCGCGGACTTGCCCCGCACCGACTGGAAGTAGATGGGCAGGTAGTACGACAGCGTCATCGTGAACCCGAAGATCACCATCGACAGCAGGCTGCTGCACAGCACGATCTGGTCGCACACCAGGTGGCCGGGGATCATCGCCTCCGCGCCCATGCGCCGCTCCCACAGCGCAAACACCGCGAACGTGACCCCGGACCCGACGAACAGCCCGATCACCGTCGCGCTGTTCCACGCGTAGCTGTTGCCGCCGTACTGCAGGGCCAGCAGCAGCATGATCGACGCCGGCGCGAAGAGCACGAACCCCACCAGGTCGAATTTCTGCAGGAACAGCGACTGCAGCACTTCCCGCGCCGCGGGTTTGGGTTTCTGGTCTGGGATCCGGGTGAAGAGGAGGAGAGCGCCGACTAACGCGCCGATGGGCAGGTTCATATAGAAGCCTATGTCGGGGCAGAGTGTTAGTGTATGTTGTGGTTTGCGACGAAAGAATGGATGATCCGAACTTACACCACCGCCAGGTCGAGTAGGTGGTAAACGCACCACCAACTAACGGCCCGCCGACGAGGCCGAGCTGTCCCACTGCGAGTCATCATTAGTCAATTACTCGTATTCTTCCTGCAATAATCAGAACGAAGAGAGAAAGGGATACACACCCCCCATGATCACCCCGATCATCGCCGGCCGCTTCTTGTTCGGCACCGCGCCGGCCAGGATGTTCAGCGCCCCGTTCAGCATCCCCGACGACCCCATCCCGGCCACCGCGCGCCCGATGATCAGCATCTTGGACGAGGTGGCCACCCCGCAGATCAGGGAGCCCAGCTCGAACAGCCCGAAGAAGGAGAGGAAGGTCCACTTCGAGGAGAAGTAGGTGTAGAATTTGCCGGTGAGCGGTTGCAGGGCGGCGCTGTCTCGTGTTGCGGTCGTCAGCGACATTATATAGGGAAGGGTTATTCGTAGGGCATCGAGGGGATTTCCTACCTGGAGATCGTATACGCGCTACCGTACCAGGCCACATCCTCGAGGGAGTTGAACTGACTCGTGATCTTGGGAATTGCCTGTTCCCCATCAAAACCATCATGTCAGTATTTCCGCTTTTCGTTTTGAGTGCATCTTCCTCGTGGTTCAAGCAAGGGGGTGATCGGGAATGGCCCACCGTCGACACAATCGACACGTCCAACAACATCAGAAACACGACCAGCGTGATCCCCGCGATCACCATCACTAGCGTCAACCCGTGCACCCATTCCGGCTCGTACTCGTCTTTCGGGTGGATGGGTTTCTTCTCGTCGTGATGCTCCGGCTCCGGCTCCCACGGGGTGGGGTTGGAGCCCAGCAGATGGGGCTGGCTGCTGGTGCTGGTGCTGTCTTGGCTCATCGTGGCGGCGTGAAGGCTTTTCGAGGAACGGGGTTTCTCGAGTGATTGCGCCATGTTGGGCTCTGGGCGATAGAGGAGTATTGAGATGGCACCTAATGAAATTACATGAAGGATAGATGAGAGGGCTTGTTTTAAGTACCGGGGGTCGGAGACGGCGTTGACAGTTCCCGTCTCCGGACGCCGGGTTGTTTTGGGTGTGATGGCTGCGCTGGCGCTGTCGAACGCCGGTTCTCCCGCTGCGAATGCCGGTCCTTGCTTGTAGGCAGTCAACGCCGCATCCCTTGTTTGCTGCCACCGGTCGGAGATCTCCCCATTTAGGAATTCACCGAGCAAAGGAGTAGAGCATCGATCCTCTTCAACTAAACGTGTTGATTCGACGATTTTCCAGGGACAGGATGGCTGGTTGTCCTTTGTGGGAAGAACGGAACAGGACGAACCGCCCCGGTCTCTGGCGTGCCTTACAGCGTGGTAAAGGTGCACGAATTGACTGCTATAGTTGTGCTTTCAATAATCGTAAGCCCTGGTTCTAGATAATGGTTTTTGAAGTCCCTGAGAGAGCCCTAAAGATATCACCCAATGCAAATGTGGTAAAGGTGAACGAGCGCTTCGGAGATGGAATCGGCGTGATTATATATCCATTTAGCTGGCCGGGTATCTGAAGCGCTCGACGGCACCAACTTATCCTACAAGTATAGATGAACAAGAGGGACATAGACAAAGACATCATAGCTCGATAGACCGAATGTATACCACTACGACCAAGAAGAAAACCCGCCCGCCCCGTTCCCCTCGGTCAACCACGCCATCTCCGACCAGCTCAGGAAACTATCCAGATCGCCCATCTCCATGCTCGACGCAAACCCCTCCCCACCCCCACCCCCACCCCCACCACCGCGATCGACCACCACCCCGGGACACTCGGGCAGCCGCACCGCCCACTCGCTCCGCAGCTTCTGCATCATCATCCCCAGCTTGCTGAACGGATCGCCGAGCGCCCCGTCGCTGCGCATCCCGACCGCCGCGGCCACCTGGCTCATGCGCGTGGCGATCTGCTCCGCGACCGCCAACAGGTCCACCGTGCCTTTCACCGCCGCCTTGTCCCAGCCCGGGTAGTCCAGGGTCGAGAGCCGGAAGAGGGTCACCAGGCAGTGCGACACCTGGGTGAGATAGGACAGCGCCAGGGAGGTGTATTCCGCCGGAGCGATGGTGAAGAAGAGGTCGAAGAACTGCTTGACCACGTGCAGGCAGGCGTACAGATGGCCGAGTCGCTGGCTGCTCATCTCCTCGTCGGGCGGGGGCTTGACGAGGGCAACCTCGTAGAGGCTGATTTCGGTGTCGTAGAGATGGAATAGGATGGGTTCTGGGTGCTGGTTAGTCTCTGCTGGGCCGGTTCATAGTGTTTCCCGGGAGATTGCACGTACTGTTGTCGGCCAGGGGAATGGGCATCTCGACTTTGATCGTCTCTAGCCGCGACTCGAATGCCTTGAGATGGAAGGCGGCGAGCGCCTGGGTCGGATGCAGGCCGTACACGCCTTCACTCCAGGGCCCCTGCAGGATCTGGTCTGCGAGGAGTCGCGTGCGCGTGATCTGCACCAGGACGCCGTCACCGGGTGATTCGTCGCTTTGAGCGAGGATGTCGAGACACTCGTTCATGTGCGGCGTCCATCGCAGCGGGTCCATTCGCCCGAGAAACTGCGCGATTCTGTGCTGGTCAGTCACTCGGCCAGTGTTTCAGTGCGGTGGAACGTACATGGAAGTCAGCACAAAGCAGCTCAAGACTGCGCGGCGTTCGTTCATCGTGCGGCGTGTCGAGATAGACGCTTTCAGCCCTGGCATATGGCCCACGGCATTGCTGTTGGAGACGGTCATGCTCAGGTCTGGCGGCGCGGGCTTGTTGAGTCCCAGCTCAAAGACCAGGCCGATCGCCATCTGGGCATAGATGCATAGCGATGACTTTTGCGGCTGGCTGTGGAACGTGACCCTGCAGTCGGTCAGCGATGGACTTACACAGACCCAAGGAGGAAAGAGATACCAGGCGAGATAGACCAAGACCCCCTGCAGCAAGTCCAGGGACTTATCGCAGTCGACCAACAGGCGTTTGCCCGCCAGCTCGCGGATGGTGACACACAAGGCGGCTTGCCGGGCGGCATGCTTACTCTCCACCGCAGTGATACACCGCCACAGGAACGGGGACTGGTGTTTCAGGTCTTGCGCATTAGTTGTGGCGGGGATGTGTATCAAGGGGAGGAATTGCAGTCGATGTGTACGGAAGGCATGCAGAGCCTCTTCTTCCTCTGCTGGCGTGTCGACGAGGTCTTCTCGTTCGGGGGAGGATGTTTCGGCCTCAGGCTCTGAGGGAGGGTCTGCGGGGAGCGGAGTCGGCGTCTGCATTCCGGTCCGACCGGCGGCACCGGAGGAGGTCAGCAGCATCATCAGCCCATCCATTTTCCGTTCCAGCTGGACCGTCTTGGACAGAGGGCGCGTCTTACGACGGCCCTCGGGGATGCGACATTCTTTGTTGAGTCGGTGGCATCTGTGGTGTTTGAATCATCTTGTCAATGGTGATTGTTGATATTGATGTTGATGTTACTGTCAACTGGACGGACTTTTGACCCACCTTTCACAGCGGCCGCCCGCACTCCGGGGTACGCATCGACACTTGGCACGAGCACAGGTGGCACACGCATTGCCATAGGGTAAGGGGGAGCGTATGGCGGATTCCATCATGAGACGCAGATCTTGCTGGGCTCACATAACATGGAAAGGGAAAGGGGGCAAAGAAAGAGGAAGCGGAGGAGGGGGAGGAATAGGAGCGAGAAGTGGAAATGGAGAGGGAGCGGACACGGCGTTGGGGCAACCCCGGTTGACACGTGACCTTTCCTGCCTACCCGACATATTACAGATTAATTCACAGAGTCAACTTACAGATAGATTTGATTTGAGTCATATGATCTGAAAATACTGTTCGAGTATCCCATTCTATCTCTCTGACCACTCTGCAGGTAGTTTGTTGAGTGTTTGGCTGACTCCGGCCACTCCATCTGGATACAGTCCTGCCTGTACTGTACATCTACTGTACATGCAGCCTCACATAGATTTACGCTTACCATCCAACCTTATCATGCCCTCTCACCACACCTATCAAGAGAAGAGCAGTCCAGTAGCCAACTCAATCCCTTAACGGACAAGTCAGCCATCTCCGCTCCTTTCTTCAAGATCTCCGACCGTAATAAGTCTACTATTGGTGGTGAGTCCGAAGGATGCGGCCCCCAGCGCTGGGCGACCGGAGTCTAGCCTTGGAGCCTTACAGCCTTAGGGCTGGCTCCAACCTTTTTCCTCTGCTATAGAAAAACTTCCCCTGCAGCTCCTGCTCAATGCTCAACCTACCTTATCGTGCATCCATTGCCTGAATTCATCCCCTCGAGAATGTCGGAGACCAACGACTCATCTTCTACCGCCTCCAGCTTGGAGAAGGGCCCGCAGCCCTCTCACCCTGGCGACGCCGGCGACTCGGAAACCAGTCACTCGGTGGAAGATGCCAGCCCGGCTGCCGCGCCGCCCCCTAAAAAGCAGGGAACCAAGGCCTGGTTGGCACTGACTGGTGGTGTTCTGGGCATGTTCGCCTCCTTTGGCTGGGTCAACTGCGTTGCGGTCTTCCAGGCTGAGTATGAGCTGAACCAGCTGCGTGACTATTCCAGTTCGCAGGTGTCCTGGATCTCATCGGTGCTCTGTATGTTGTTGGCCTTCAACTCTCACAAACACATCATTTCTGACAAGCTCCAGTCTTCTTCATGCTCGGATTCTCTCCCGTGGCCGGCCGACTGTACGACGGCCATGGCCCGCGTCTCCCCATCGTCATCGGCACCTTCCTGCACGTCTTTGGCCTCATGATGGCCAGCCTGTCCACCAAATACTACCAGTTCATCCTCAGCCAGTCCGTGTGCTCCGGACTCGGCACCTCGCTGATCATCACCCCATCCATGACCGCCGTAAGTGGCCCAGTCCAGCCTCTGCCCCCTGATCCCGCCACCACACAACTAATACTTCCTCCAAGCCCATGACCTACTTCCACGACCGCCGCGCCCTGGCCGGAGGATTCGCCATCGCCGGCTCCTCGCTGGGCGGTGTCATCTTCCCCTTCATGGTCAACCACCTGCTCTCGTCGATCGGGTTCGCCTGGACGATGCGCGCCTGCGCATTCCTGATCCTCGGCCTGCTGCTCGTCACCTGCACGCTCATCTCGTCCAACGCCACCCACAGCCCGAAGGAGTTCAAGCTCAGCCACTACCTGCGGCCGTTGAAGGAGGTGAACTTCCTGCTGATGTGCATCGCCAGCTTCTTCATGTACTGTACGTTCTCCCCAATGCCATCCGAAGCTCAGACAACAGACAAAACTGACAACCCAAAAAGGGGGCATGTTCGTCCCCTACGTGTTCATGGTAATCTCCTCCATCCACTACGGCATGTCCGTGACGATGGGCTACAATCTGATCCCCATACAAAACGGCGTAAGGTATGCTGCAGCCAGCCCCTCGAACCCCCTTGCCCACCGCACAATAAAACTAATCCACGTGGGGAAGCTTCTTCGGCCGCACCGTCCCCCAGATCTGGGCCCGCAAGTACGGCCAATTCAACGTCTTCATCCTGGCGATGGTCGCCTCGATCGTCGTCGTGCTCGCCTCCTGGCTCCCCTCGCGCAGCAACGCCGCCATCATCGTCTTCACTGTCCTGTTCGGGTTTGTGTCGGGCACCACCATCGGCCTGGGCCCCATGCTCGTCATGGCGCTGTCCCCGCCCACGGAGATCGGGTACCGGGTCGGCACGGTGTTCGCGGTGGCCGGGCTGGGGGCGCTGACGAGTCCCCCCATCGCGGGCGTGTTGATCACCCGGAATGGCGGGGATTATGTGTACGCGGCGGTGTTTAGTGGGGTGGCGTATGCGGTGTCGACGGTGGTGATGGTTATTCTGAGGGTGAGGATTGGGGGGTGGGGGTTCTTGTCGAAGGTTTAGTTAGGGGTGGTTTTGGGGATTTTGGGGAGGGGGTTGGTTTGGGGCTTGGGCGATGGGGGAGGAGGGAGAGGTAGAGTTGAGGTTTTGAGGTTTATGTCTTCTTACATTCGGGAATTTATATAAAAAGGTTAGATTATGCTTTATCTCATATCAGGGTGAATCGAAAACTAAAGTTCCAGGTGCAAATGCCCGTATGGTGAGATTGTGTCGTTGACATCGATTCTACAATAACTTACAATATACTGAGCGACAGATGCAAAGGGCAAATGTTCCACACTGCCCTTAGATCTACTGTACTGTACAGTAGTATGTCATCATCCACTGATACGTTGACTATAGACTATTCACTACATCTACTCGCCCGCCCCGAACTACAATTTGGACACACGTTAGAACAGAACAGATACTATTCCCCTCCGAACCTACCAAACTAGCTACAACAAACCAAAAAACCATAGGACAAACTCCAACCATAAACCAAACCCCCCAACTAAGCACACCCCCAAAGAGGATAAACCAACTTAAACCCCGAGGCCTGACCCCTGCGCACCGCATCAATGCCGCCAATCACCCCGCGCAACCCGCCGGACTCCTCCTGCACGGGGTGCGTGACCAGCCCTCCCTCCGCCAGAACCGCCTCCATCTCCGCGTACCACCGCTCCGCCGCGGCGCGGTCGGCCGGCCTGGCCAGGAGGTTGTACGGCGCCTCCCAGCCGACGATCTCGCGCCCGAACTGCGTGAACAAGAACACCCACTCCGGGCGCACGCTGCGGCGCGTGTGCCGGCTCAGCGGGAACGGGTCCAGCGAGACGTACTTGCCGCCCGCGCGGCCGATCGCCTCGTAGCAGATCTGCATCGACTCCGTCGTGCTGATGCAGTCCAGCGCGAAGGCCAGCGTGTTGGCCGTGTGGTCGCGCAGGTCCGACCCGCAGGTCGGCGACCGGTAGTCGAAGGTCGCCGCCGCGCCGAGTTGCTGCAGCCGCGGGAAGTTGTGCGGGGAGCTGGTGGTTAGTGGAGTGAAGCCGGAGCTGTGGGCATCCGAGCAGATGTTAGTCGCGCTGGGATGCTTCATTTCTTCTCTTTTCTTTTTTTTGCGTTCTGTGACATGTCAGGTTGGCTTACCGGCGTAGCACTTGGATGGCCAGCGTCCCTGTCGCGGTCCCTCCGCCGTATACCAGGACGTACGTCGGAGTCTTTTTTGCGGCAATCCTCTCCGACTCGGATGCTGCGGCGCCCACTAGCGGCAGGCCGAGGGTCTGGTACAGCGCCAATCCGGTGGTCGCCAGCCCGCAGCCTAGCGTCGCCGCCTGCTGGAAGCTCATCGAGTCCGGGATGCAGAGCACCAGCGCCGCGGGCACCGCCACGTACTCGGCGAAGGCGCCGTTGTCGTGCTGGCCCGCGTTGTTGCCGAACACGCAGCCGCACACGCGCGTGCCCAAAGCCAGCCGCGACGACGAGAAAGCGGAGGAGGTGACCCCCTCGCCGAGGGCCACGATCTCGCCCGCAAAATCCAGCCCGGCGGTGGCGCCGGGGCTGGGCGATATGTCGGCGGATTTGGCGTCGTAAGGGTTCAGTCCGACACAGGCGACCCGCACCAGCACCTCGTCGGCGCCCAGCTGGGGTAAGGGCTGGCTGGTCTGCAGCTCGATGCTGCCGGGACCGGCTATCTTCAGTGCCTGTTGGGTAGTCGGTAACTCGCTCATGGTGATGATGTGAGTGGAGAGGACGTGGGCGTGGGTTGAGGCTATGGCGGTGGCTGTGGCTGTCTTCGCGAGATATCGACGCGTGGAGACTAGTGGAGTGGATATGTATGAGGTCTGGTCTTGTTTATGACCGGATGGCTATTGCTGTGATGAAACTGATTCCAATGGTTTCTATCCTTCTGGAATTTCCGATGCCTAAAGCGCCGCGGACTGATTGGCGGGCGGGGTCCGGCGGGCGGACGGACTTAGGGCTGACGCCGGAGTTGCTGCTTACTTTCCACAGCCATTGTCCGGAGGATGCATCAGGAGAGGGTTCGGAGATCAATGCAGTAACCAACAAAGAAAAACTGTACATACGTTATCTACTGACATGATCCACGTTTGCCCGATGATGCCCTTCCCCTGTCTCAAGTGAATCGTTAATTCCTTAGAGCCACATTGACAATCCCAGCCCGTCAGACTCCAACATGGCAACCAGCGCTTTCTTGCAGCAATTCCAGACGGACGAGTCGAAGGGCCAGTATGTAAGTGCAGTAGCTGGCTCGGTGCTCGTCTTCGCCAGTGCCTTCGCATTGAACGCTATGAGGCGACCGAAAGAATTCACGACCGACGAGGGCAAGCGCATCGCTGAACTTCCCGCTGATGTGCGCATGTCCAAGTTCATTCGCAGGTGAGGATCCTCCATGAGCAGTTCCTACACCAGTAACTACTGATCGGGCTCACTGACAACCCTCAAGTCGGGAATTGTCCGAACAAGGCGAGGCTCTCGCCGGCACCGAGCCGTATCTCATCCGCAGCGGCCCCTATCGCGAACTGGTGATCAGCCAGCCCGACCAAGTCCACGAGTTCTACCGCAGCGACAGCAAGAGCCACACCAAGCCCCGCAACCTAAACCTGGGCGAGCCCTTCGGCCGCTTCCTGGGCCCCTGTGTCGGCGTGCAGTACGGCGACCACTGGCGGGCGATCCGCAAGCACTTCGACCCGCCCTTCGCCTTCCATCCGGTCGCCCAGCGGATCCCCCGGTTCCAGCGGGAGATCGAGGCCTGGCTGGAGAGCAAGGCCCCCACGGCGACCAGCGAGCTCGACAGCAAGGTCGATTTCCGGTTCTTGGTTTTCAAACTGCTCTCGCTGCACCTGTATGAAGATGCTTTCGATGACCGAGTGCGTTTACCATATTGCATTGAGATGGCGGATCGGGAACTGACAAGATACGACTAGTCCTACTGGACGCTGCTGGAGCTGAACGACCAGCACGACGCCATCATGATGGACATGCTGGTCAGCAAGCACCCGGACTCCAAGCTCTACAACCTGCTGCCCAGCGCCCCGCGCAAGCGACTGCAGGAATTCCACACCCGATGGCAGGAGTTCAACCGGCTGATCGTCGAGAACGCCCGTGTCGTAGGCACTCCCATCAACCCCCAAAATGCCAGTACTAATATCACCCCCAGGGCGGCTGGGCGTGTCCCGTTGAGACAATCTACCGCGGCGTGGAACCAGACCAAGACTTCACCGAAGACGCCGTACGTGCACCCCCGAGACCCCTACAAACTCAACACTGGAGTCCATACTGACCCCGGCACAGTTCCTCGCAACCCTGACCGAGATCCTCTTCGCCAACGTCAACATCAGCGCCGAGGTCTTCCGCACCATCTTCACCAACCTCGCCGCCAACCCCCGCATCCAGACGGCACTCCGGCAGGAGATCCGGGAGTGGAAGGCGAAGCCCGACTTCGATCTGTCCAAGTACCTCGCGAAGCAGGATACCTTGCTCAACCGCGTGCTGATGGAGAGCATGCGCATCTCGCCTGCTTTCTGTGGGTCCCCCTGGACCCCACCTATTCCATCTTAATTACAAGGGGGACACTGCATTGCTAACCTCGATCTGAATATAGGGTTCTCTATGCCCGAAACCACGGCGGAGCCTAAGAAGATTGGCGGGTACAACATCCCCGCTGGCACGCCGGTGGTGATCGACACGCGTCGCCTGAACAACGGGGCCGCCACTTGGGGTATTACTGGCGTGGACCGGTTCGACCCCGATCGGTTTCTGAAGGTGGCCAGCCAGGACCTGCGCTGTGGGTTTATGCGGTTTGGGACCGGGGCAGCATCCGGACGGTGCTTGGGGAAGAATGTCGCGGATGCGGTGTTCAAGCTGACGGTGATGGAGGTGTTGGAGCGGTTCCGGCTGGAGAGCGTGAGTGAGAGTGCCAAGGAGGGGCGGTCGGTGGATGTCCGGTTGGTGGCGTTGAAGTAAGATGGTTGACGCGTTGTGCATTGCTGTAGTTGGTTTATTGTCTTAGATTCTTCGTTGGTGTGCTGGGCTGAATTCGATTATGGGCTTTGTTCGTCTCTGGAAATCTATGGTGTGTTTTCTTGAACTCTGCGAGATTACAGTATTCAACCTCGTGATCCGGGCGGATTGGCTATTGGGTACATTGAAGACAGCTTAATACAGTATCGTGATCAAGATATAAGGAAGACACGGTTTTTCGATTGGAGAGGAACGAAGTGGACTGACCCTATTACTCCATTGCACACCTTGGGGTTTACGAGCACAATATCTGTCCGGATGCGATAGAAAATTCTAAACCACGTTTTTTTCTTCATTCGAAACGAACACTAACCAGCTAAAGAGTAGCTACATTCAATCTCATCCCGGACAAGACTAGCAGGGATCGGAGTACGCCTGTCTGCCTGCATGCACGCGGCCTGCGCCTCCGGCCTCCGCTCTGCATTTCCCCTTCACGGCCCCCCCTAACCCCTACTTGTGCAACGCAACCAACACCCCCGTCTTATTCGACGGTCCAATGCGCATGACCGAGACAAACGGATTCTCATCGCGCGGCTCAATGCGACTGTACACCTGCGCCAACCGGGCCAGGATATACGCCGTCTCCGTCTGGACCATCATCTGGGCCGGACAGCGGCGGGGCCCGCCGCCGAAGGGCACAAACTCCCAGAAATGGGCCTGATCGACGAAGCGCTCCGGCTTGAAGGCGTCGACATCCTCCCCGAAGTAGAGGGGGTCCTTCTGCATGACCGTCTTCGTGACCTGGACGACATCGCCCTTCCGAATCAGGATGGGCGACTTGCCGTCGGGCCCGCCCCCGAGCGGCAGGGTGGTGTCATTGATGCACATGCGCACCTGCGACACGTTGTTGGGGTTGAGCCGGTGCGTCTCGTTGATGCACGCGTTGAGGTACTTCATGCCCCGCAGCGCCTCGAAGGTGAGCGGCGCGTCGCCGTGGGCCAGCACCTCCGCGCGCACTTTCGCCCACGCCTCCGGGTTCCGCGCCAGGTGCCACACCACGTTGCCCGTGAAGATCGAGGTCGTGTCGTTGTTAGGCACGAAGAGCAGCGACAGCTGCGATCGGAGTTCCGCCCGCTCCGGGCAGTGCTTCGCCATGTACCACAGCAGATCCAGCCGCTCGGGGCCGACGTCCTCCCCCGCCGCGATCCGCCGCTCCCGCTCCGCGATGTCCGCGTACACCCGGTCCAGGTGCTCGTCCATGTACGCGTGCACGATCTTGATCGCCCGCAGCCACCATGACCAGTCGATCAGGTTCATCACCTTGTACATCTGGAGTCGGAGTCGGTTGCCCCGCAGCACGTCCAGCATCGCCCAGGTCACCCGTGCGCGCTCGGGGTGCGTCAATGCGTCCATGGGCGCGCCGAAGATGAAGTTGGTGGTCACGTCGAGGAACTGGGGAGAATGTTAGCTGAATGGACGTGGACTGACGGAGAAGGGAGGGGGCGCTCACCCATCGCTGGAGGTAGGGCTGGATGTTGACCGTCTCTCCGTCCGGAGGGAGAATGCGCAGGAGATGGTCCGTGTAGGAGCGCAGCCGCTCGGTGTCGGCGTAGACCTCGCGCATGAAGAAGGGCTTGATCAGCGCGCGGCTGAAGACCCAGTCCTCGCCGTCGACGACGTTGACGCCGCGGTTGGCGAACGCGGCGCCGGCATTCTTGTAGCGACGGAGCGGGCTGATGGCGAAGTCCTTCCAGTTGATGGCCGTCAGGGACTTGAGGTTCTCGGGCTCGATCGTGTAGACGACCCGCGTGCCCATGAAGGTGATCTGGAAGGTCTTGGGCTGGCCCTTGTGCAGCTCGCTGAGCCAGGGGATGAAGTAGTGGCCCCGCAGCGCCTGCCACTGCGTCCACACCAGATCCACGCCCCAGAACGGCTCCCACTGGAACCGCGAGGGAACCGACTTGCAGCCCCAGGACCGCTGCTTGCGCAGATCGCTCGCGCGCCGGACAAAGGACCGGAACAGAAGCGCCAGGAAGCCAGAACAAAGGAGCAGAATGGGCAGGCTCTGCACCGGGAGGTTGTGGTACTGCACCAACATGATGGAAAAATCGGGTTGTTGCTGCTTCCAAGGGATAAAAAGTGATGTCAAAATTCTAGCCAAGCAGGTTGGCAGTAGCATTCAATTAAATTGAAAGGCTGGATCATTTCATATATCTATCTATTGCCAGTCAGCCCGAACTCAAGGCAAGGTCAGTCCGGAGTTGCTTGGCGGGCATCTCCGGGGCGGATGGAATCTGACCGGACATCAGCACCGCAACCACCGGACTTCTGAAACTCACCTCCAGCCCTAATGGATCTCCTGTCCATGCGCCTTTCCGACACCACACCGCAGGCTTCAGCCTTGTCCGACGGTCCCATTGGGTGTATTTTCATTGGATGCGCTTCTCCGCGTGGCAGACAGGGTTCAGTCCGCGTGGACGTCCGCTCCGGCGGGTCTGAAGAGGAGGCTGGGGCTAGGGCTTGGATATGTCTCCGTATACTACACATCGCAGACGTATACATACGCTGTACGATCGCACCACTTGACAACTCCTCATCATCTGATCATTTGTACATTTCTCCCTCAACTTCAACAGAATTCAGGACGACTTGCCGCGGATAGCAGTGACTCGCTATTCCCACACACACTCCCCACTCTTTCAACAACAACCACAACCAAAAATGCCTTCCTCCGTTCCTGAACCCATCGCCATCGTCGGCTCCTCCTGCCGGTTTCCCGGCTCGGCCTCCTCCCCCTCCAAGCTTTGGGACCTCCTCCGCCAGCCCCGAGACGTGCGGCGAGAGCTGAACACCCAGAACCTCAACCTCCAGCGCTTCTACCACCCGTCCGGGGACACCCATGGCTCGACCGACGTCAAGGGCCAGGGCTACCTGCTGGCCGAAGACAGCCGGCTCTTCGACCCGGCCTTCTTCGGCATCAGCCCCTTCGAGGCCGACACCATCGACCCGCAACAGCGCATCCTGCTGGAAGCCGTCTACGAGACCTTTGAGAGCGCCGGCTACACGCTGAGCCAGATGCGCGGGTCGCAGACCTCGGTGCATGTCGGCGTGATGACCGACGACTACCACGACATCCAGGTGCGCGACCTCGAGAGCATCCCTCAATACACTAGCACGGGGACCTCGCGGAGTATCCTGGCGAACCGCATCTCGTACGTGTTCGACCTGCACGGGCCCTCGGTCACCGTCGACACCGCATGCTCCAGCTCGCTGGTCGCCCTGCACCAGGCGGTCCAGAGTCTGCAGCTCGGGGAGGTCAGCTGTGCGGTGGTGGGCGGGGTGAACCTGATCTTCGACGCCGTCATGTACGTTGCCGAGTCGAAGCTGCACATGCTCTCCCCGGACTCGCAGTCGCGCATGTGGGACAAGACCGCCAACGGCTATGCGCGCGGAGAGGGCGCCGCCGCCATCCTGCTGAAGCCGCTCAGCCAGGCCATCCGCGACAATGATCACATCGAGGGCTTGATCCGGGGCAGCGGGATCAACTCCGACGGCCAGAGCCAGGGTATCACGATGCCTACGTCGGCGGCCCAGGCGGCCCTCATTCGGAGCACATACGAACGGGCCGGCCTCGACCCCATCAGGGATCGGTGTCAGTACTTCGAGTGTCACGGCACGGGCACCGCCGCGGGTGACCCCGTCGAGGCGCAAGCGATCAGTGAGGCCCTCCTCGGAGAGGATGCATCCACCGGCGCGAACACAGACGACGAGAACTCGCCACTTTATGTCGGCTCGATCAAGACCGTGACTGGTCACCTGGAAGGGTGTGCCGGTCTGGCCGGTGTCCTGAAGGCGCTGGTCTCCATCAAGCATCGCACCATCCCGCCCAACATGCTCTTCAATGAGCTGAACCCCAAGATTGAGCCGTACTACGGTCCCATGCAGATCGCGACCGCGCCCGTCCCCTGGCCCAAGCTCGCTCCGGGGGTGCCTCTTCGCGTGAGCGTCAATAGCTTCGGGTTCGGTGGTACCAACGCCCACGTTATCCTGGATAGCTACGAGACTCCAGCACAGGAACCCATTGAACCCGTCGCTGAAGGCAGTGCGCCACTCGGCCCCATCGTGCTCTCCGCTCACTCCGGCGCCTCGCTCTTGGGCAACGCCGAGGGACTCCTGCAATACCTGCAGGACAACCCGTCGGTGGACTTGTCGGATCTCAGCTACGTGCTGCAGACCCGCCGAACGGCGCACCGGGCGCGGGCTTTCTTCTCTTCATCCTCGCACCAGGGCTTGGTCAGCGGCCTGCAGAAGTTCATCGCCGACAACCAGAAAGTGGTGAAGAAGGAGACAATCGGGATCCGCCACCAGGCCATCAACCCCAGCGAGACGCCCGGCATCCTGGGCGTGTTCACGGGCCAAGGCGCCCAGTGGCCTGGCATGGGTCGCATGTTGCTCGATCACTCCCCGCTATTCCGGGAGGTGCTCGACAGGTGCGATGCCGTGCTGCAGGCGCTGCCCGACCGTCCCGAGTGGCTCCTCGTGGACGAGCTGCGCAAGCATGCCGATACCTCCCGCGTCGGCGAAGCCGCCGTCTCCCAGCCAGTGTGCACAGCCATCCAACTCGGTCTCCTGGAAGTGCTGTTCGCTAGCGGGATCGACTTCGACGCCGTGGTCGGCCACTCGTCCGGCGAGATTGCGGCCGTCTACGCCTGTGGCATCATCTCCCTGGACGCGGCGATGCAGATTGCCTTCTACCGCGGCAAATACGCGGGTCTGGCGCAGGGGCCGAACGGGGAGCGCGGCGCGATGATGGCTGTGGGAATAAGCTACAATGACGCGCAGCGGTTCTGCAGGCAGCCCGAGTACCAGGGCCGGATTAGCGTGGCAGCCAGCAACGGCGTCCAGAGCGTCACTCTGTCCGGGGACAGCGACGCCATCCAGCAGGCCAAGGAGCACTTCGACCGCGAGAACGTGTTCGCGCGCCAGCTGAAGGTCGACACCGCCTACCACTCGCACCACATGCAGCGCTGCGCCGGCCCTTACCTCCAGTCCCTCGAGGCCTGCGATATCCAGGTCCGCCGCCCGCGCGACGGCTGCTTCTGGAACTCCAGCGTCCGCGGCGACACGGAGCTGCTGCGGGGAGACCTCCAGTCCCTCAAGGGACCCTACTGGGTTCAGAACATGGTGCAGACGGTGCTGTTTTCGCAGGCGGTGCGCTCCTCGATCTGGCACGGGGGCCCGTTCGATCTGGCCATCGAAGTCGGGCCGCATCCTGCGCTGAAGGGCCCCACGGAGCAGACCCTGGAGTCCGCCTTCGGCACCGCTCCCTCCTATACCGGTGTTCTCAAGCGTGGCGCCAGCGATGTCGAGGCGCTGTTCGACGCGATAGGCTTTACCTGGGCCCATCTGGGACCGCAGTTTGTCAGCTTCGCGGGTCTCCGACGCTCCTTGGTGCCGGAGGGCAGTCGACGCGCCCCCAGGCTCTTGAAGGACCTCCCGTCGTACTCCTGGGACCACGACCGGGTCTACTGGCGGGAGTCTCGCATCTCGGCGCGATTCCGCAAGGGTACTGATGTCTTCCACGAGCTGCTGGGCCGCCGCACGCCCGACGACACCGACCGGGAGCTGCGCTGGCGCAACGTCCTCAAGCTCAGCGAGCTGCCGTGGGTCAAGGGCCACGAGATCATGGGCGAGCCCCTGTTGCCTGGTGCCTCGTACGTGGCGCTGGCGTTCCAGGCCGGGCAGGCGATCGCGGCCGGCAGGGCCGTGCAGTTGATGGAGGTGCAGGACGTGGAGATCCGGCGGCCCATTGTGGTGCCGGACTCGCGCGAGGGCCAGGACACGATCTTCACGGTGCGGCTGCTGGAGAGCGGCGACCCCAAGGTCATCGAGGGACATTTCTCCTACTGCTACTGCTCGGACCCCAGCACAGGCGCCATGGTCCACACCTGTGAGGGCCGCTTGATTATTCACCTCGGCGAGGCTGAGGGCGACGAGCTGCCCCCCAGCGCCCCGGCGCCGCCCAACTTGCTCCCCGTCGACAGCGAGGAAGGCTACGAGGTACTGGCGCAGGCGGGTCTGAACTACACGGGCATCTTCCATCGCCTGCAGGACGTCGCACGCCGGCTGGACTTCGCCGAGGCCAAGGCCGAGTGGTCGGCCGAGGAGCTGCGCGGGGGTTACGTCGTCCACCCTGCGTTGCTGGATGTGTCATTCCAGAACCTGTTCCACGCCCGCGCGGACCCCAGTGCCGGGAAGCTGCCGACCAGCGTGTTGCCCGTGCATATCAAACGCGTGGCCGTGAACCCAAGGATCACCCTTGGGGCGGAGGCCGGCACCATCCGCACGGTGACCCAGTCGTTCATCACGGCCCGCAACGGCCTGTCGCTCAGCGGTGACATCCATATCTACGATGGGGTGACCGGAGAAGCAGCGCTGCAGGTGGAGGCCCTCTCGGTGAAGCCCATCGCGCCGCCGACGGCCGAGCAGGACCGCCGGCTCTTCTTCGACACCGTCTTCATGGCCGACCCGTCGCTCTCGCTGCTTGAGCCGCTGCGTGACCCCGGCGACGTCGAGCGCGATACCGCCCTCGTGGCCGACATCGATCGCGCCGTGCTCTACTACGTGCAGCGGGTGCTGGAGCAGGTTGACCCCAGCGAGGTGGCCGGGCTCTCGTGGTATTTCCAGCGCATGCTGGACTGCTTCGAGCACTGGGTGCAGGTGGTCCGCGAGGATTCTCACCCGCTGGCCCAGAGCGGCTGGCTCGACGACCGGGTCGAGGTCATCGAGGAGATCTTCAACCGCTGGCCCGGCCAGATTGATATCGAGATCGTGCGCGCCGTGGGCGAGAACCTCATGGACGTGCTGCATGGCAAGACCCAGATGCTGGAGGTCCTGATGAAGGATGACCGCTTCGGCCGCATGTACTACGAGGGCTGCGGTTTCGCCGTCGTCAATGCCGGCATGCGCAACGTCCTGCAGCAGATCTCCAACAAGTATCCCCAGGCCAACTACCTGGAGATTGGTGCTGGAACGGGTTCCACGGTAAGGAGCTTTCTGTGTTCTATACTTCCCGCGTGTTCCATTGCTAATAACTGTCCTATAGTCTCACGCCATCCTGCAATCCATCGGGAAGAGCTTCGACACCTACACCTACACCGACATCTCCACCGGTTTCTTTGAGAACGCGGCCAAGCGCTTCTCGGAGTTTGCCAGCAAGATGGTCTTCAAGACGCTGGACGTGGAGAAAGACGTGGTCCCGCAGGGGTATGCCTTGCACTCCTACGACGTGGTCGTCGCCTCCAACGTTCTGCACGCCACGGGCAGCATGGAGGTCACTCTCGCTCACGCCCGATCGTTGCTCAAGCCTGGTGGTTTCCTGCTGCTGGTGGAGATCACCGGCATCGAGATCATGCGCATCGGCTTCTGTATGGCCGGCTTGCCCGGCTGGTGGCTGGGCGCGAAGGAAGGCCGCCGCTTCCACCCCGGCATGACCACCGAGGACTGGGATCGCACCCTGCAGGATACCGGCTACTCGGGCGTGGACCTAGTCTACCACGACCTGCCAGATGCCGAGAAGCACTGCATGTCTTTCATGGTCAGCCAGGCGGTCGACGAGACCGTGCTGCAGCTGCGTGAGCCACTGGGGTACATCAACAGTGTGCCCCAGACCGACTCGCTGCTCGTCATCGGCGGCCACACCCTCCCGGTCTCGAAGCTCACAACCGCCCTTCAACGCCAAGTCGGACCCTCCTGGCGCAGCCGCGTGGTGGTTGCCCGCGATCTCGAGGCCGTGGATTTCTCCCGTCTCTCGTCGCGCATGGATGTGATGTGTTTGCAGGAGCTGGACGCCCCGCTGTTCGCCGCGCCAATCTCCCAGAAGAAGCTCAAGGCCCTGCAGGCGATTTTCTTGCGCGCGCGTAACGTCCTCTGGGTTACCAAGAGCCGCCGAGCGGAGAACCCCTATCAGAACATGTTCTTGGGAATGTCACGCGCCATCTGCAAGGAGCTGCCGCAGGTGTCAATCCAGTCCTTGGATGTGGAGTCGATCACCAATACCAATCTCTCCGCGCGGACGGTCCTGGAAGCCTTCGTGCGGATGAAGATCCTGTCGGCAGTGGACGAGCAAACGCCCCTGCTCTGGACACGCGAGCAGGAGCTGGTCATCGACGGGGACGAGACCCTGATCGCCCGTCTGCGTCCCAACCAGGAGCTGAACGACCGGTACAATGCGCGCTACCGCACGGTCACGAAGCCTGCGTCCGGCTCCGATGCGACGATCCGCCTCGTCCAACAGGGTGACAAGCTGGCCTTGATCGAGGCGGACAATCGTGGTCTCGCTGATGCTGCTCAGGATGTGAGGGTGAAGGCAGCTTTCTCGCTGACAGTTCCTGGCGGTGACAAGCAGGAGACGCTCTACCTCACGGTTGGACACCAAGTTGACGTGGGAACCCCGGTGCTGGCCATCTCGCGTCTTGATGCTTCTGTTGTGAGCGTGCCGCAGGTGGATGTCATCCCGATTGACGAGACGGATTGCGACGCACTTGTCCTCGAGAGACTGAGCGACCAGATTTTCGCCGATGCGCTGTTGAGCGCCGTCCCCGCTGGGCAGTCCGTCACTTTCTACCAGCCTCGGCGTGGTCTGGCCGCTGTCATTGCTGCTACGGCTGAGCAGCGCGCAATCGAGGTGTTCTTTGTGTGCTCATCCACTACAGACGCAGAGGCTCGCAGTGAATGGATCCGGATCCACCCCCACAGTTCTTCACGAGTCATTCAAAGCCTGGTTCCTCGCCAGGACTCGATCTTCGTGAATTGCTCGGGTTCCACGGACTATCTCGGATCCAGTATCCAGTCCGCGTTATCATCTCCTTGGGCAGTTCCAAAGCTGGACAGTGGAGTGTTCCAGAAGGGGCTCGATCTCCTGCGAGCTGACGGCTCACTTGCTGCAGGATACGCCGCTCTGCAAGACCGTCTCTTCACGTTGAATGCAGAATTGCCGGTGTCAGGTGAAATCACTCTTCTGAACGTCGATCAGCTGGCACGCGTTGATGCTTCGATTCTGCAAACCACACACATCACCTCGTGGACTGAGGCAACTGACTCTCTGAGCCTGGTCGTCCAGCCTCCCGACCTGACTACTCTGTTCGATCCCGCCAAAACATACCTGATGGTCGGCATGGCCGGTGGGCTCGGCCTGTCGATCTGTGAGTGGGCCCTGAAGCACGGCGTGAAGCACATGGTCATCACCAGTCGAAACCCGAACATCCATGCCCGCTGGCTGGCGGATGCACGCCACAAGGGAGCGAACGTGCATGTCGAGTCGATGGATGTCACGGACCGGGCGTCAGTGCAGTCCACGGTGCGCCGGATCAAAGACACCCTGCCCCCCATTGCTGGTGTCTGCAACGCGGCCATGGTGCTGACTGATCGCATGTTCGTCAACATGGACGCGGACGCAGTCAATCGCGTTCTAAAGCCAAAGGTGGACGGCTCCAAGCACCTGGACGAGGTGTTTGCCGACACGCCCTTGGACTTCTTCGTTCTCCTGTCCTCTTGCGGTGCAACCATCGGCACCCAGGGCCAATCCAACTACCATGCCGCCAACATGTTCATGTCCGCCTTGGCCGCTCAGCGTCGCGAGCGAGGGCTGGCCGCCTCGGTCGTCCACATCGGCTTCGTCACCGATGTCGGCTACACCACGCGGCAGGAGCGAGCGATCTGGGAGATCTTCGCTCGCCTGCAGTTCAAGTTTATCTCCGAGATGGACGTGCACCACGCATTCGCCGAGGCCATCATCTCCGGCCGACCGGACAGCCACCGGCCGTGTGAAGTGGGCGTCGGTATGGATCCTCTGACGGAGCCCCTGCCGGCCGGCCACAAGCCAGCCTGGACCTCCGACCCGCGCTTCTCGCACTATCTGCCATCCACCAATGTCCGGAACGAGGTGGTGGCTCGATCGGGCCAGGATGACCTCAAGGAGCGGTTCCGCGAGGTGAGCACCGAAGCCGAGGCTGTGGAGCTCGCGCAGGACGCGTTCTCGGCCAAGCTTGAAACCATGATGCAATTGCCTGCCGGAAGCGTCTCGGTCCAGGTGTCGCTGATCGAGCTGGGTATCGACTCGCTCGTGGCCGTGGAGATCCGTACCTGGTTCCTGCGCGAGCTGGGCGCCGACATCCCCGTCCTCAAGATCCTGGGAGGAGACTCCATCGCTCAACTGTGCACCAACGCGGCCAAACAGCTGCTCGCCCAGCAGCTGGAGCAAACGGCCTCCTCCAAGGCAGAGGAGGTCGAGACCGACAGCACGACCGTGGACGAGTCTCAGGACTCGTCCCAGAGTCCATCCGAAGCCCCGGAAACCGCCGAAACCAGCTCCCTCGGGGCCGCCGACCAAGATCTGTCGTCTGCGAGCAGCTCTCCCAGCGTCGTTGATCCCACCGACGAAAAGGACGGCCACGAAGCCGGGGTGAACGTAGGACAAGACCCCCTCCTCCCCGATGTGCGACGCGACGCTGACGATGATGACTATGGCCAAGGTATAATCGAGAGCGAACGTCTCTCGTCTGGCCAGTCGCGGATCTACATTCTCTCGCAGTTCCTCAACAACCCGACCGCGTACAACCTCATGTTCCAGTTCGAGATTGACGGCCACCTGGACATGGAGCGCCTCCGCAATGCGCTCGCCCTCACCATGCAGCACCATCAGTCCCTGCGCACGTGCTACTTTGTGCGCGAGGAGGACAATCAGCCCATGCAGGGCGTGCTCGTCTCCCCAATCGTGCGCTTCCGCCATGTCGCCGACGCGACGGCCGACGACATCGCCGCGGAGGCGACTTTAGCCAAAACCCGAGTCTGGGACCTCGCCCGGGGCGAGACCATGGAGATGGCGGTGCTCTCGACCTCCGCGCAGTCGCATACCATCATTCTTTCCTATCACCATATCATCATGGACACCACCGGCTGGCGCTTCTTCATCCAGGACCTGTCCGCCGCCTACCGCATGGAGCCCCTCCAGCACACCAGCAAGACCTATCTGGAGTACACGCGCCGACAGTTCGAGCACCAGCAGACCGGCCAGTTTCAGGCGCAGCTGCAGTACTGGAAGAACGAGTACTTGACCGTGCCCCCGGTGTTGCCCTTGCTGCCCATGTCCAAGACCAAGACGCGGCCCAGCACGCAGGACTTCCGCACCACCTACGAGTGGCAGGAGATCGGGCCAGAGGTCGCGCAGGCGCTGAAGGCCGCGTGCCAGAAACTGCGAATCACCGCCTTCCATTTCCACCTGGCGGTGTTCCAGGTCGTGCTGTCGCAGCTGGCAGGCACCGACGACCTCTGCATCGGGGTGGCGGATGCCAACCGGCTGGACGACGACTTCGCCGACACGGTGGGATTCTTCATGAACATGCTGCCGGTGCGGTTCCGCGTGTCCCCGGACGCGCGGTTCGCGCAGATCGCGCAGACGACGGCGCGCAAGGTGCTGGGCGCGGTGCAGAACTCGGCCGTGCCGCTGGACATGATCCTGGACGAGCTGCACGTGGCGCGCTCCTCTGCCCACACCCCCTTGTTCCAGGTCGCCGTCAACTACCGGCTGGGCGTCGTCAAGAAGATCCCCTTCGCAGGCCACTTCCTGACCATGGCCGACGTCCAGGAGGCGAAGAACCCCTACGACCTCAGCTTCGCCATCATCGAGTACGGCGCCGACGGCTTCGTCCTGGAGATGGCCTGCCAGGAGTCCCTGTACGACGCGGCCGCCACCCGCACCATCCTGGACACGTATGTGCGCGTGCTGAAGGCCGTGGTGGCAAACACCTACACTCCCGTCGCCGACGTGCCCATCCACGCTCCCGACGCAGTCCTGGCGGCCCTCGAGCTCGGCCAGGGCCCTCGAGTGGACTTCCACTGGCCTGAGACGCTGTCGGAGAAGGTCCAGCTTGCGCAGGAAGCCCATCGGGAGCAGATCGCCATCCGTGACGAGAGTCAGGCGCTCACATATGCTCAGCTCGCGGAGCGGGTTTACGCGATCGCTGCGGCTCTGCAGGCTGCAGGTCAAACGGCTGACTCCCGGGTCGCTGTCGTGTGTCAGCCCTCGGTCGACTTCACGGCCTCGATGCTCGCTATTCTCCATATCGGCGCGGTCTACATCCCGCTGGACGTCAGTCTGCCACCGGCACGGCATGCGGCCATCGTCGCCAGTGCGCGGCCTAGCGTGGTGCTCTGCCATGAGGCCACTCTCGAGCGCGCTGGCCAGCTCGGCGCCGGAGAGGAGAATCTCGCCTTGCAGGTCATCAATGTAGATGAGATCGAGGCTGCTGTCAAGGAGACAATCCCTTGCACTGCACAGCCGCAATCGCCCGCCGTGCTCCTGTACACGAGCGGCTCGACCGGGAAGCCGAAGGGGGTGGTACTCTCGCAGAGCAACTTTGTCAACCACATTGCGCTGAAGATCGAGGCGCTGGATCTGCGGCCGGGACGCGAGACCGTGCTGCAGCAGAGCTCGCTGGGTTTCGACATGTCGCTGATCCAGACCTTCTGCGCCCTCTGCACGGGGGGCACGTTGGTGATCGTGCCGTACGAGTCGCGGCGCGATGCGCTCCACATCACCCGGCTGATGCACCAGCACCAGGTCACCATGACCATTGCCACGCCCTCCGAGTATCTGACCTGGCTGCACTACGGGCGGGACTCGCTGGCCGAATGCGCCGGCTGGCGGTGGGCGTGTATGGGCGGCGAAGCGGTCCATCGCTCCCTGCTGCACGAATTCCGGCGGCTGGGCCTCGCATCCCTCTCGTATCTGAATTGCTACGGTCCGACGGAGATCACCGCGGCGGCCACCTTCCACCGCATCTCGCTGGAGACCGGGGAGGAGGATGAGCCTGAATCCCAGAGTACGGTCGGCAAAGCTCTGCCCAACTACGCGCTGCGGATCGTCGACGCGGCGGGCCGGCCTCAGCCGGTCGGGTTCCGCGGGGAGATCTGCATCGGTGGCGCCGGGCTGGCGATGGGCTACTGGGCGTCGCCGGAAGAGACCGCGAAGCGGTTCGTCACGGACCGAGCATCGCCATCGACAAGATGGTATTGCACGGGCGACCAGGGTCGATTGACGGCAGATGGTACGCTGGTTTTCCAGGGTCGGCTGGAAGGAAGCACGCAGGTCAAGTTGCGCGGGCTCCGGATCGAGCTGGAGGAGGTGGAAGGAGCTCTGCTGCAAGCAGGGGCGTCGCTGTTCTCGACGGTCGTGGTCACCGTGCGAGACGACGTCCTGGTGGCCCATGCGACGACGGTCGGTGACCGGACAGGTGTGATCGAGCCGGCGGTTATCGCGGACTTGTTGGCGAACCTGCCTCTGCCGCAGTACATGTGTCCGGCCCAGGTGGTCATTGTCGACGAGTTGCCCCGTACCAGCAATGGCAAGATTGACCGCAACGCCCTGGCCACCGCGCCGCTTCCTTCGGCGTCTCGTTCTGGTGGTGATGCCAGTCAGCACGGTACTGCACCTAAGCTGAGTCTTCGTCAGGGCGAGCTCCGCATTCTTTGGGAGAAGGTCTTGCCGCCGACCAGGCACGCGCTGACGGCCGAGTCGGACTTCTTCCTCGAAGGCGGCAACTCCCTGCGGCTGATCAAGCTGCAGCACGCCATCAAAGAGGCGATGGCGGTCTCCATCTCCACCCGCGAGCTGTACGAGACCTCGACGCTGCGCCAGATGACCGCGCGGATCGACTTCCAGCGCGAGCACCAGGTCATCGAGAACGAGGCCATCGACTGGGAGGCCGAGACAGCCGTTCCCAAGTCTCTGGTGACCGCGGCGCGGAACGCCAGCAAGCACTCTGCCGTCCGCAGGAACGACGATCAAGCCATCGAGGTGCTCCTGACCGGAGCCACGGGCTTCCTGGGTGGATGCATCCTGAACGAGCTACTGCAGGACCCTCAGGTCCACAAAGTGCACTGCGTGGCGGTCCTACCCGACGAGCAGCGCTACCTGCCGGCCCATAACAAGATCGTCACCTACACGGGAAGTCTGTCGTCTTCGACGCTGGGGCTCAATCCGTCCGAGTCGCTCGCGCTGCAGGAGGCCATCGACGTGGTCATCCACGCCGGCGCCAACGGCCACTGCCTCAACAACTACTCCTCCGTGCGCCAGGCCAACGTGCATTCCACTCAGTTCCTGGCGTCCCTCTGCGCCCCGTCCGCCGTTCCCCTGCTCTACATCTCCTCCAACCGAGTGCCCTTGCTCGCAGCCAACAACACCGCCCCGGTACCGGGTCCCGTGGCCGCCGAGCCGCCCACCAACGGCACTGAAGGCTACACGGCGTCCAAGTGGGCCAGCGAGCAATTCCTGCAGCGGGCCTCGGCGCTGACGGCGATGCCCGTGGAGATCCACCGCCCGTGCGTGGTGATCGGCGACCAGGCGCCGACCTCGGACGCACTGAACGCGATCCTGCGCTACTCGCTTCAGATGAAGGCCATCCCGCGTTTCGCCAACGTGGAAGGGTACTTTGATTTCAAGCGGGTCGAGGAGGTGGCGCGCGAGTTGACCACCGCCGCTGTCGAGATGAGTCGTCATCGCGGCGCAGGGCCGCAAGAAGAAGGGTCTCAGCAGCAGCAGCAGCAGGTGCGCTTCCGGCATCATTCGAGCGGCAACAAGGTCGCGTTCCCGGCCATGGTGGAGCACATGCGCACGTTGTATGGGGAAGAGTTTGCGGAGATGGAGTTTATGGAGTGGATTGCGCGGGCCCTCGAGGAGGGGATGGATCCCTTGATCTCCATCTATCTGGAGAGTTTGGTGGAGAAGGGCGAGACGCTCCGGTTTCCGTATATGGGCGAGACGCTGGCTGTTTAGATGAGGTGTTTTGCTTCTTTTGTCTTTGATTTTACTTTTCCTTGCTGGTGTTGGTATCGTGTCAGTTGGGCGTTTGGATATCTGGATGATTGTCTTGTACTTTGATTAGCGAGGCGTTTTGTGGATCTGGCTCTCTATGTCCTCACTTCGTGCTATATATTCGAGCCTTTGATAGGGTACTGAATTTGTCCCATGAGTATCGAACTTCATCTCAGAACCCTTCCCGAAAGATGTACAAGCTACACGTAGAGGAGAAGACTCAAGGAAACAAGTTCTTGGTTCAAGGATACCAGCATAGATGGAGGTGATATGAGAAAGAAGAAGTTGAAATGAAGTGAAGCCCAAGCCGAAGCCGAAGCCGAAGCCTTCGGTGGCAGGTCACGTGGCCGGAGCGCGTTTTGTCTCCACCAAACAGGGTCTGGATGGTTCACGGTCGCATTTTCGTATCTCAACACATGATGGCTTCCCAGGCCATCCATTCCAACCATTAGACCCCTCTTCACGCGCGGATCCCAAATCATGCTCGCAGCCGTCAATCTCCAACTCCCTTGGAAGTGTGCGATCGCATCACGTGATAGCTACCGTGTGCCTGAAGGATGCCCGAGGCACTGCACTCGTCTACGCTCCAGCTTGAATGTGAAGCTCTCTGGAATTTGAACGCTTTCTCTCCCTCATCTCAGTCTTTCTGTCCAACGGTCATCATGTGCGCTGGTACAGCAGCCCAGTTCCATCAAGACACCTCCCTGAATGATCACACTGTTTGTCTAAGAAATGATTATTGATTTTGGTTGGTAGGAAAACAAACACGAAAGGCAAGAATTGTCAAGCATCGCTAAAGCGCCACTCGGCTGAGCTCTAACCAGCAATCACAAATATGCTCCACCCATTAGCCTGATGCTTCTTTTTTCTAAAGAATAACTCGGGACTTTCTGTCTCGTTTTCTATGGTATCTATTTCGAAGAAGACAACATCCCTTCGCACCTTGTTCTTTACCCCCCGCTCCCCAAGGGACTCAACCCCAACCCTCCCTTTCCCTAACAGCCCCTCAAGCCGGAGAAAAATACCCCCACAGGTCAGCCAACTGCTCTAAGGAGTCTTTGACGCTAGCCTGGAACCGCGTGGCCCGGACCACAGGCCGGTACTGCACGTCGGCGAGGTCGATGAAGAGGCGCAGGACCTCGCGGGGGCGCCGCAACTCGACTAGCTGGCCGTCGCGGTCGGCAAGGACGGGCTCGCCCTCCTTGTACTTGATGAAGTTCAGGAGGGCCGGGTGGTCGGCGGGGACGTCGTTCAGGACGACGGACCGCAGCTGCGGGGGCACGGTGGCGCCGCGGTCGCTGACAGAAACAGAAGCGGAGCTGCTCATCATGGAGATGATGCTGCTGGAGCTGGTGCCGCTGGAGCTGCTGGTGGCTGACGAGGAGGCGAGACTGGCGGCCTCGACGGGGCCCAGCATGAGCGCCGGCAGCCAGTCGTGCGGGTGGCGCTTCATCGACAGGAACATGGTGATCAGCGCGACGCGGTACACCACGGCGGACCACCAGAGCGGCTGGTCCGCGGGGGGCATCAGGCGCACCAGGCGCAGGATCTGGCCGCAGTGGACGAGCGCCTCCTCCTCGCTGTCATGGGCGATGGTCGCCGGACAGGCGCCCAACGGACACGGGCCGGATCCCCGCGGGTTAGGGGCCTCTGGGCGCGCGGGGGGCCCGCGAAGCAGCGCGGCCTCGATGCTGGGAAAGCTCGCCATCGCGTTCAGCGCGATCAGGTGATACATGACCAGCATGGCTAGGCCGGCGGGCGAGTTGGTGTTGGCCGAGTGCACGGCCAGGTTGAACCATTCGGGCAGCAGGGCCTGCACCTGGTCGAGCTGGGCGTGGATGGCCGGGTTGGACAGGCCCTGGGTACTTTTGCGCCAGCGCACCGGGCAGTTGGGGAAGGACTGCAGCCACTGGCGCAGGTGGCAGACCATCCCGTGCAACGGGACGAGCAGCAGACGCAGATATTGCAGGGGCAGCCGCGTGCCTCGTCCGGGGCGCAGCTCGCCGTTCATGAAGCAGGTATACAGGTCGCGCAGGCAGATCGGGGGTTGGGTGGCGAAGGCCTCGGGTGCGAGACGTGCCCAGTCACTCTCGGAGCCCGCCTTCCACAGTCGGTCGTCGGCGGGTAGTGACTCGGTCAGCGTGTCCACGGAGAAGCTGAGAGGGGTGTCGTAGAACAGGCTCCATTCTTGATCTGCTATTACCCACGCGTACGTGAGCCTATGCGATGAAGTCAGTGGACAGTCTATGATGGCAAGCAGAAAGCTGCTGTCACTCACCGCGAGTTCATCTCCTCCTCCTTCCATTGCGCCCATTGTTGGTTGAGCCCTAGACTGCTACTAAGAAGGCTAGGAGTGTCGCCGTTGTCAAGGGAAGGAGGCTTTTGGTGTAGTAACTATATTACTGCCGGTCAGTATTCCCATTCGACCTGGGGTCATAGCCCAAGATCAGAAAGACTTGCCTGAGTGTACATCTGCCGGTGAGCGCAAGAGGTCTGTGGCCAGTGGAAAGGCAGGTTAGCAGATGAGATGGCGACATCAAAAGGCAAAAATAATGCGACATAACGTCAGACTCACCCGCATGAGCCATCGCTCACCAGACCACATCCCCAGATAGAGCAGCAAAAGAGCGCAATGAGACACGATATCCGGCCTCGTGCTGGCCACATCTCCTTCCATCATATCGGACAATGCAGTGCGACACGTCTCCGTCAACCCGGTCGCGAAAATATGCAATTCTGGGGCTGGAGAGGCCGTAGCCCCGATCGCAATCATCAGCAGAAGCAGGATGCCAGCGGCCTTGACGTCGTGCGGAAGGTCATTCATGAGCGTGTTTGGGTCTTGCAGCTCCCCGCTCGACAGGCCAAAGTACTGCTCGAAGCAGGAGACCTGGGCTCGTAAGAGGTCATCCAGCGCCTTGGCTGGAGGTAGGGTCACGATGGTGAGGTTGAGTGGACTGAGTCTCCGGCCGTGGCTGCTGTGTTCCCGCGAGTGGACATTGCGGGTCTGCATCAGTAGTAGTTGGGTCACCACCAGGAGGTTGTCGCGGGTGATGTCCGTGATAGGGTCTACGGCCGGTGGTGTGGCGATCGAGGAGGCACTGGACTCGGTGCTGCTGGTATTCCACGGCTCTCGCGACTTGAGCGTCTGCTCGAATTGCTGCAGGCTGAGGCGCATCTGGCTGCTCCAATCTTCCCCCCAATGCCGTGGCTGCCCTGGACATAGAGCGACAAGGGGGCTGTTGCGCCCGCAACTCGAGGATTTGCGCGGAGAGTGACTCGGGGGAGGGACGGTCATGGGCTCCAGGTATGATTCCCACAGGACATCGCTTGTGGAATAGCTGATGAGCTCGCTGATGAGGTCGAGGTCGGGTGTGGACTGATGCGGGGCGTCCTCATCCAGGACCATAGCCAAGGGCATATGTAACGATGACTCTGGAGTAATCTGCTGTAGCCACTCGGTAGACAGGTGCGTCGTCTCCTCGGTGCTGGGGTAAGGGACACTGGCTTCTTGAAGGCGTAACAAGCCGTCCGGACTGCCGGTCACCATGTCGGACCCTACTATTGCTGTGCTATCAGGCCCTACTAGGTTCTGTTTCGTTGTTTCCGGTGCAGTCTGCTGCTCTTCTCCCCGTGGGACGTCGTCTGGCCGTAGCCTTCGTAATTGGAGTTCGGCCGGGCGTTGCATGGCTCGCCGAGCAGAGCGCGGTTGGCAGACCAGCTGCTTACTGACGCATCGTGTGCAAGGCACCTGTGATATTCGAACTCTTGGTCAATCAATGATGTAAAGAAGCCACGCAGGGACTTCACAGCGCGCCTACCTTGCGATCGCATCGCGCCTTGGCCTTGGAGCAATGCGAACATGCGATGTACCTGGTCTCGGTGGTCTTCATACTGATGGTGGTCGTAAATCCAAGCTTCTGTGCTCCATCGAGGGGTGGAGCTGGGCCGCCGGAGAGAAGATATAGGCCAGAGATGCGGAGAGAGATAGCCACGGAAGTATCCCTGTTCTATAGATTCCCCTAGAGTCTGCCTCGATTGAATCCAAGCGATCCTCCAAGTTGATCCTTCGAAGCCGTCAGCATTTCCCAGCTTCTCTGCTGTGGTTGCGGCTATTGCCATTGGATCGACAGGATGAGAAGTGTATCAATCTGGTAATCTTCAGCCTGGCCATGTATCGCCACATTGCAGTTTAGGTTTGAGTTGGTCTGGAGGTGCTTCTCGACGTTCTCGGCGCAGTTTCGGCGATCCTGAATCATGGCAATCACATCACACATACTTCTCGCAGAGACAACAGAGAGAGACAGGGACACAACAATGTTGGGGTTACAAATTTCGCCCCCATGATCCTTCCGCCTAGCCTCGACCAGCATCAACATCCATACGAGCGTTATGGAGGCCTTGTTTGACCCCGCGACTGTTAGTGGGGGCGGTGGCGCCGAAGACCCTATCTCACTTCGCGTGGTTGAAGAAGCACGGGAAAAAAAAATAGAATAAAAAAGGATCAAAGCCATTTGTCATCTGAGCCTACCTAAAAACTTACTAGTCACCGATATACTAAGACAAATTCCAGGAGTCTGATAAAGAGAGTGGTCGAGTAGTCTCCTCCTGCAGGATCTAGCCAGAAAGCACGTCAGCCCACGTTGTTTGTTGATTCTAGCGTGAGGCTTCCCACGCGGCGGAAGATGCGCCAAGATGGAGCTATTTCATCTAGGGTTACATTTACAGTACCTAGTAGTTAACCTACTGTACATTGTTTTTTTTTCCACTTGGGATGGGGACCGTGCACCACTGCTTCGCCAACAGCCCGTCCACTAGTGATGCCTCTCTTATACTAGATGCCCCAAAGAATTCCCAGAGTAGAGTCGTAGAATCTTATTCCAAGTGAACTGAACTCATCACTGACAACCAATTGATTATTTCATGGCCAATTTGCTAACACGACGGTTCAGCTAGTTTTGTTTGCTCCGGAACGTTAGAATGTGTTGAGTGTTTACTTTATCGGGGAGCGCGTAAGCACTGAGTCTTATACTAGGTTATTACCTGGGCCGGACTTTCTGCCCCCTGCCCTCATTCGCTACATTGTCCGCTCCATTTCTGCAAGCCGATTCTTCTGCCTGCACCTAAATCCTTCGTTCTTTTGATCGGTCTTTTATCTAGGTTAGCACGTGATTTGTATACAGGAGTAGTCAAGTTCTCTTGTACTTTAATGAGGCCGTCGGACAGGATTGGAAGGATGACCGGACTCCCCCCGTCCAGCCACGCCTACTTGCACGGAAAGTCTGGATTAATATTAATATCGAGATTGAGATAGGTTTCCCACCAACACAAGTGCTTAAATGGAATTCAAGAGGGGTAAAAGTCTATTGATAGTGCTTGTTCACGGAGAGATGCTTGAGCCAATGTCTGTTCTCCGCAACTCACTATCCCGCCCTAGGTCTGTCGAAGATGCGGACACGTCTTGAGGATGATTCCTTCAGAGTCATCCGCAGTCAAATCCGGAGAGCTGTAGCTAGTATACTTGGATCTCACACTGACTCATGTTTTTCAATGGTATAAGCTGGCGAATCCCTGCATAGCATTCAGTCGCAGTTCACACTATACAACTTGCTCATATATCAGAATCGTCGAGACCTAGGCCTTACCTAAACGATCGATACAGCCTGAATGTATATCCCAAGCGAGAGAGCCCGCTCCAAATCCCGATCCACAAAGGATGCTATACCTAGAAATGAGGATCACTAGCTAGGTGTACTAGCCATTACTCATCAATTGGGAAAGTCTCAGAATACCCGTGATGTCCCCCCTCATCCCACAAGCCGAGTCAATTCAACCGAAGCCATGTCCACAACTACAGTGCATCAATACGGTGTTTCGCACTATGCTGAGATCCAGGATAATGGGGAAATGTGGCTAGCGGTACAGCCTGACCACTCACTAGCAGATATGGCGTAGTTAGAACTTTTAGTTGCTCTATCTGCGGCTCTCTTCACCCCTCAATCTACTGCTTGATCGTCATATCACCACGTGGTTTTGGGGCACGGCATCTGGCCCGTCGATGATCGGTACCGTACGGAGTAACTATTAGGTAGCTCGAGTACAGTACACTCACTGAGTTCTCAATTCCAAGGTTTTGCATCATGCCACATTCCGCAGAGGCTCTTAGGCCGGGAGATGCAGTCAGCAAGCTAAAATTCATCAGATATGCATATACGAGCGCGTAGTTGAGGTATCGACTCCTTGCTTGAACGTCACGGCCACTAGTTGGGCTGGTGGTATACGATCCGTAATCTTTCAATCTTTCCGTCCACCCGAAAGTGCGGATTGGGAGAGGCAGTGCCGACTCCCCGCTCGGACCTCATTTGACGGGACTGTTTTTCCAAGTCCTCCCGCTGTATTGTATTGTAACGGGCTATCAGATGCGTCATTCAAGCTAAGGAGAGGTAGCTTCAGCAGTCACGACAGCCAATTGCTCAGGATGCAAGCACTAGCTATCAGTGGCTAACTTAGTGTCTCTGCTTGGTAATATCTGTGTCAGGCTGCATTACTAACTGGATTATACCTACTTAGCCCATGAGGGCTTCCCTACTAATGATCTCCGGAGGATCACCTCGCGTAGACTAGGGCTGATCGGGTCTAGGTAGATAACCTTGGGGGGCGGAGCATTTCCCAACAGGGTCGGGAGTACTAATACTAAAACAAAAAGCCTGCCATTTGTCCAGATGAAACCACGCGGTCACGCGATTAGTGGGATTTCTTTTTCTATCGCATTTCCATGCACTGGCTTAGCGTAGCCTTACCCCTCTTCACCCCCGGGGAAGAGAAAACAAAAGAAAAAAAAAGTGCCGTGGTCTCACCTACGCAGGACGCATGCATGGCCTTCCTTCGGTCTACTTAACGAATTGCACGTACTGTACAGAGTACATACGTAAAATCAGCAACTGATTCCTCCCCGTGGTTTCAAAACCGACCCCCTGTTGTTGATATATCCCGATTCATTGGTGACTAACAATAGCTTGATCCATTCCCGCCAACCAGAAAGGAAAGAGTCTCAGTAAGGGATGCAGAATTCCGTCAGGCCAACCGTCCACGCGTATGTGTCACCCAATTGCTGACCAACAGCAGGGCAGAGTGACCGATCCCCGGGGTATGCCAAGCCGTTTCACGGATCTTATCGGGTCTTCACGACTTGTTGCGTCCTGTGTAGCTCCAGGAGCCATGTGCATCAGGCCACAGCCCATGCTTCACTCAATAGTCAAGGGGACTGATTGCTCGGTCGTAGATTTGTCAGCATAGGTGCTGTCTGCCTCCACTCGAGACCTGGCGTCAGGACTAAGATGTCTTGGAATGTAACCCAAGGCTAGCGGGCAGTCACCCCTAAGCTCTGGATCGCGTGCTAATTCTCTCGGCAACGAAGCCCTAAACCCATGGGGATAGAGGGGGGGGGGTGCTGAATTGGATTCGGTCCGTCTCCGATGGAGGATCCTTTTCTCCTTTTTGCTTTTTCTGCTGTGACTTGGTCATCCGTTCTCCCGTCGAACATAGCTCATCCGCAGATTATCAGACTCTGGTATGTGTAAGCACGCCGCGCAGCCACAGTTTTACATTCCCCGGCCTCGTCGTCGCATTGCAGGCTGTGGCTTAGCAGCATCCAGTCGGTATATCCTGCGTCCAACTCATAGTGGCCCTTTCAGTTGCCACGAGGCAAATTGGTTCGTCGCTTCCCAAAAGCAAAGACCACGTGGAATTTCGCCGGATGTACCCCAGCGGAGGCCAGAGCCGATTCGGTTTTCCAACGCATGAGCCCTCACCTGCACCCCTTGTTTAACTCTCACGGCCAAGGCACGCAAGGCTGCTTTCTTCAAACCAAGCAACGTTCCAAGCACCTCGGCAAACGTGCATCTCCTGAAGCACAGTTGTCCTCAAGTGCCTCTGCCAAGTGCGGCTGAAGCGGTAAGGACTGGTGGTCAACTCAGTCCAACGTACCGTACTTTTTGAGCCACAAGTCTGACTGGTCTGCTGCAGGAGAGGTAGGATTTTGGGACGCTGAGCCGGATCAGTCATCCTGCAGGGAAAGAACGGAGTCCGTCCCAGAGGCAAAGACTTACCTTGCTTAGCATAGGGCTCAGCGCTTACGTGCTTGGCGAATCCATCAGGAAATGACAGTAATTTATTCGGGTTCGCTGTGCTATCCGAATCTGGTTAAATGCTGTTGGGACTGACTGCGGGATTTTGCTCGTGCAGTATGCTTCCAGCGTGAGGGTGGCTCCCTGCTATCGCTCGATGAATAGGGAGACATGCACCCTGACGCAGAAGGTGGCTGGTTTTGTCCTGTCTCAAAGATCTCCATTCGTCCGTGCATCAGGTCTTGGAAGGTGGAAATGAGAACATCTGAGACGAGGATTTGCCATCCACAACGCTACATAGGGAAATGAACCAAAAGCCCACGTCGCCCGACAGTGTTTCCTTGTTTTCGCAAATCAACCAAACGAACCAACCTTGGTGGTTACATTGTGTAACCCATGGACAACTTCGGGACCTGATTTGCTGTTGAACGGCGTGCTCGATGCAATGGTACTACGTAAGGTAGTTTGAGCGGATGAGGTTCGTTGCTGTTGCCTGTTTCCACGTGGTACGCGGTATACACTAACTAGTAGCTTTCCTACAACCCAGATGGCAGCTACAACGCCTATTCAAGAATGGGGTGGATCTACTCCACTCAACCATCGCATCGGCTGACCTTACACATTGCAAATCTATGCTGAGTCCTTTTCGCATTGATGCCTCACTCTAGTCAGCATGCTCGCTCCGTGTAGAGGCCGTCAAGCCAATGAACCCAGACAAGTTTACGCGATCTCTCCCTTCTGACTCTGTTTCATGAAAATGCGTTCCGTCACGCAGCAGGATCGTGTGAGCTTCAGTCCCAGCCTGTCTTAAGCTGGAGTCGGCCCATGAAGTTCACCAATCGACCCCAGTATTGCATCTCCATCGTTCCTTACAGAGCACACTTCCACAAGGCTCAGGTGCCACCTTGTGGTGCTCAACGACCGTGGACCGACTCAGGATCTGGCTTGAGCGCGGAACATCGTTGGACGGGTTCAATTCGAAGAAGCTCGTCGGTTTGAGCGAGACCACCATCTTCTCGACTGGCATGACCGGAAAGTCTGAGCCAATGTTAGCAATCCCCAAATGTCCCCTAGATAAACAAACGGCAGCACACATACCTTCCGGACGGGTGATGTGCGTGGTGCCAAACGTGTGCCACAGCACGATATCCCCGTTCTCCACGGACTGCTGGCGTCGACTCCACACCCCCAGCCCGGTGTCGTCCGTGCTCTAGTTGGTGAACTCCCCGGCCGCGTAGAGCTCTTCGTCGCGGTAGTCCGTGTCCCAGATCGGCTTGGTGGTGAACCGTCCCCGGCGGGAGTTGAAGGTCTCCGGCCCCATGATGAGCATCTGGCTCGGGGACGCGTGCAGCCGGTACCCCACTGGTTCTCCGGAGATGGCGTTCGTCCGGTTGGGGTTGATGATGCGGTACGTTCGGGAGGCGGCGAGATTGAGCTCGTAGCCTCCGGGCTGCGAGATGGCGGTGGTGGTCCTGCGGAACGCGCAGCCTTGCGGGTCGTCGAGGGTGGGGTCGTCGCGGACGGGGAGAACGTCGTTGTAGACGACCGTGTTGCCGGTGCCGTCGAGAGCGGGATCAATCCGGAGGTTGAGCAGATGTTGATGGTTGACGGCCAGCACGCCGGGGGCCACGACGGTGCCCCAGGGCGAAGAGGTGTGGCGGGCAATGGGCATGGTGGACATGATGCCCGTGGCTTTGACCTCCACATGGAGGTTGGCGGCCTGGTCCAGCACGAAGGCGAGAATGTACTCGTAGTTCATCACGGTGGCCGTGCACTGGATGACGAGGGTGCGGTTGCGCATGTTGGTGTGCTTCCAGCCAATCCCCTCGTCCACCTCGTGCATGCAGATCACGTTCTTCATCTCGACGGGCTCGCCGGTCCCCGTCGTGCGGATCCCGTCGAAATAGGCGATTTGGCCGAGACAGTCGCAGCCCAGGGCCAGGGTGTTGGAGGTCAGGCCGAAGCCCGTGTCGCCCAGGTCGAACGCCTGCTTGCGACGGTACGGGGCCCGCGGGTCTCCGTACGGGGCGGTCATCTCGCTCATGGAGACTCGATGGAAGAGCAACCGGCCGTCGTAGAAGACGTTGTGGAGCACGGGTCCCTCGCGCACCGTCTATCTCAAGTGGAACGACCATTTCTGCCAGGTGATCTGGCGTCCGTCGATGCTAAATGATGGACCCTCCGGTTGCTCGACATGGAGCGGCTTTAGGTCCTGGCGGAAATAGGGCTTGCCTAAGAGGCGCTCGCCGTACTCGACTGGTTCCACGGCGTCCCAGGGAACCGTCTCCTGATCGAGCTCCGCCCCCGCTCCTCGTGGCAGCCTTTCGATCTCTACCAGCTCGGCGGTATGAGCGTCGAAGATGGGCGCAAACGCCATGGGGAGAGAGTAGTGGTTCGCTTCCGGATCATCATTGAGGACAGCGTACATGTAGCACTGGTAGAGACAGCGGGTTACATCGGGACTGTCGGTCCCGTACAGCCAAGGGTCGTTGACCACCGATGCCCTGCGGTTATCAGATTCTATGTGCCATACCTTGTATAATGGGAGCGGAGAGGGCATGATTTGGCCAGAGAGCGCTGCTCACCCCTCGGGTAGTTTGAGCTTCTTCACCTCGGCACGAACCCGCGGATGCTCTGGCGATATGGGTATTAGGCAGTGGAGGGGCGTATGTATTGTGTACGGAGAAAGTTTCGGTGAAACTGGCATTACTCCAGAGATTTCCAAGCCGTTGCTAGACTTATATACCAAGTCTACCTTTCTCCGGGTGCACAATTGATGCTGAAGTATACATGGTATGGATGACCCCAAGGCAGTCGGTGGAACACAGCCTTAAATCAAGGCACGCTGGCCTACTATTGATTTGGATCAACTTACGCCAGCGAATGACATAGCCAGCCATCCTATGAGTCTCTTGCATTAACTTGCAGCTTCTGCGACCGGGGTAAGGGCGTGGGTGAGTGATAGGATATTGAGATGATTGCCCACTCGGGAATGGTTTCCAACAAACTGGAATAATCCCTGATTGAGGCGTGCTTGGCCACAGTGGTTTACACAACAAGGCAGTAATGCTAACGAGGCAACACTGATCCAGGCAAGGTTAATTCCTGACTTCTTCGCAAAGCCAAATCGCAAGAGACACCCTTATCGAAGTCGAAAAGCCTTAAATCACCGATACTCCGGGCAGGCCTCACCATGACGTCACTCCATCTAGAATAATGTCCTAGACGTGAGAACGGAATACTTCGCAATGGAACGGAAAAGCCCAACCGATGGTAGTCTGATCATCGGGCTTCCTAATGATTATGATCTTCAGCTCCTGGCTCATCCTAAGGCACCGATGTGACCTCCCCAAATATAGCAATTGACCCCACAATTAATTGAAGCTAGTAAAGTGATGTGTCCAATGTTGAAAGAAGGGGTCAAGCAGGGATTCACTGTGATAATGAGTGACACAGACCAGACAATTAGATTGCCTGCATCAATCGTCGCCATTGTCCCAGTGATGGCCGTTCATTTGCCCACTGGGATACTCACACAGCATCCAGGAACAGGCTTGACCGTCCTCTTCGTACCCCCAACCCCGCACGATGCGGCACGACCTCGGATCGACCCATCCAGTGGGGTGATAGCCTTGATCAGAGGTCTGTTAGCAGTTGAAAGCATTTCCTATTGGGGACAAGCCCATTGGCGAGTTCCCCATTTTGGGCAACGAGGCCACTCGCTTGGACAGTGAATCCGTGGTCGCCAGGGAGTCCAGATCAACTCCCCCAAATCCTTGGCGGCGCCTATCGGGAGCTCGTCGCTTCTACTGTGCTGTGCACTGTGCACTACACGCCACTACGTACGGTACATCCATTTATATGAAGTGATAGTCATGGCTCGAGTTGGTTGATCATCATTTTGACAATTGCAACCGACACCCCCATCAATCTTCACCATGTCCTTCTCTCCCTCCAAGTACAGCGACGAGGTCCAGAAAGTGTCCAAAGACACCCCACTTGAAGAGATCGTGTATCTGCTCAAGCGGGACGGCGGGGTTTTCATCAAGAACCTCATACCCGAGGGTGACGTCGACCAAGCCCATGAGGAGGTCAAGTCGCGACTGGACGAGGATGTCGAATGGAACGGTTCATTCTTTCCAGGCAAGCCCTTGGCAATTGCGATAAACAAAAAGGGAACGATACTGACACCACCACCAGCACAAACCCAACGGGCTCCATCCCTCATCGCCAGAAGCCCGACTTACACCAAGACCCAGCTCATGAATCCACTCTTCCGCGCCGTCTGCGACCACTTCCTCACCTCCCGCCGATGGTACTGGTGGGGCGACGAGAAGAAACTCTCCGTGTCCAAGCCCTACGTGCATTCCTGCGTGGCGATGCGCATCGGGCCCGGCGGCACGGCCCAGCCCCTGCACCGGGACGACTACATCAGCCATCGCTGGCACCAGGAGATCGGGCAATGGGACGATGTCCGCGACGCCGAGCGCGAGGCCTCCGTCGGCTTGTTCGTGGCCGGCTGCCGCGTCACCAAGGAGAACGGGGGCACGGCATTCATCCCGAGGAGCCATCTATGGTAAGCATTCTCGAATCCTGCCCGCGCCCGGGCCTAAACATTGACAGCCCTAACTCATCAGGGGTTCTGACCGGACGACTCCCCCCAAAGTGGAGCAGTGTATCTACGCCGACATGGAGAAAGGCGATGGGTTCGTCATGCTGGCGTCCGCGTACCACGGCGGAGGCGCAAATGTCACCCAAGACGAAAAACGCTTGATGTTCGCCACCTTCATCATTCGGGGTTACCTGCGCCAGGAGGAGAATCAGTTCCTGGCCGTGCCGGCCGATGTCGCCCGCAGCTATGACCGGGAGGTCCAGGAGTACATGGGGTATACGATGAGTGAGCCGGCGTGCGGCTGGGTCGAGCAGCTGGATCCGATCTACCACCTGCGCCCGGAGTTGAAGGAAGATGAGCGACCGACGGATTTCTAGTTAGGGTCTCTAGGACTTGTGGAGGGTGTATATACACGATAATAACAGTGGTTAGGTCACTATGCAAAGAGTCTGCTCAGGTCAGTTTGTGGTTACTAAGCCCTCCTAGCAAGGGAACTTAGTTTCTCGATAAGGTGGTGATCATACCAAACCAAGCCTAAAGTCAGTCTTATGCGCACCCAGCTTCCCTTCCCGCGGTCGCATCATAATCTTCCAGGATCAACAATTTGATCTATCGCTATCGATGCGGCTTGCAGCAACAAAAGTACGTATGCAGCTGGACCTAAAGGGAAATGCGCTGTCCTGTCACGTCGGGTTCGCCTCCGTGACAGCGCTTAGATATCAAACTAGGGGAATTTCGGGAATGGTTGATGGGAGCGGTGGAGGGGCGGCGCATACTTCCCAACTGGGCAATGCCTCCCACTGCAGTGCTGTAGCCCCAATTCTGGGGATGGCTTCATTCGATGGCGGAGCAGCAGGAACAGCTTGTATCGAAGTGAGGCATGATATAAGTATCAGGGAAGAACAAGTGAGGATCTCTCAGCATTCACGCAAGGAGAATGCCTTCCCGCGACAACCGTACGCAACTACCCAGCCTCTCGCCAATTTGGCTGGGGAAACTGCCATTGTGACTGGCTCTTCCGGGCATTATGACTCTCGTGTTTCTTACTGAGAAGACCTTACCGATAGTGTGATGCCGAAGGTCCATTGGAGCCGGAGTTGCGTCGGAGCTAGGACGTCGCGGTGCGGCCGTGATCATCACTGATAGCTTGGAGCGTTCTGCCGATGCAGCTCATCGTGTGGGAGAGTAGTTAACTGACTCGTTTGTGGGCCACCAAGTTAAGTCAGTCGCGAGGAATAACTGCAGAGAGTGTAGTTACTATAAGTACCGGTCCGATCGCCACGGAGCAGATCCACAACAGTGCGCCGGAATCTAGGAAGGCTATGAAACACATGATTCAAGCGACGCCAGCAGATGCAAGGATGGGGAAGGATGGGAAAGGTGAACTTCAACCGGAAAGGGCATATACCTGTCTGTTTTCACCAGATGCAACTGGCTGATCACATTGTCAGCCTTATATATTCGGAAGAGAACTAGAGCTGATGGATCACAGGAAGTGCCTTGGGCGGCATGGGGGGCTTGCTATTGTTTAAACAAGACAGGGCAAGTCATATCCGCAACGGGCACCGCGGAGGCTCATGCATACATTAGCAGGGTTCCCCATTCACAGGAATTTCCATGGAACCACACCATGGAGCATACTGAATGACGAGTACTGATGATTAACATATAACTTCAAACACTTATATTGAGTGAATCGCGGCAAGCCCCGATGCAGTGGCCGGGGCTGTCTGTGTCGTGTCTCTTCTGTTCATATGTACTCTCGATTGCCATGTTCTATAGACACACCAAAGCACATTCTATTTGATCCGGATGTTTGCGCGAAAAGGTCAGTATCAAGTCTATTGCAAGCTCACCCGCTGAATGCCATCCCATGGAACCAATCCAGCATGCGGGACCTGTCGCAAGAAGTGCCGCAAATGCGACCGGGCACGCCCCTGTTGTCGGAGGTGTTAAGTCAAAGGTCTCCCGTGCGAAGGCTACCCTCCAAGATACATCATTCTCGAGGTGCCGTCTTTACAACGACATCAACGTGCTGAGAACCTCGGCCCTGGTCAACACACCATTTCGGATGCCTCAACTCCTGGCAGCTGGCCCTTGACAAGCACGGTCGAACCCAGTGATACTAAATTGTACTCAGAGCTGGTTTCAGCGTCCCGCCATGATGATAGCCTGGCCATATCGCAGCCCTCATCGATGGAGCCAAGTTCACCAAAGGGCTCGTCACGCAGGAGGCAACGAAGTCGGCGTCCACACCTACCCACCTATCTCTCAGAAGATTTTCGGAGGATTCATGAAACTCTCATTTCAACGCGCAATCAAAGTTTGCTTCTTTACTGTATGGAAGGCGAATCTTTGGTCACTTTCAGTCGCTAATATGAAGTGTGATCAGTCGAGACGAGGGTCTGCAGCGCCCTGGCAACCGAGACCGGCCAAACCACGAATCCATACCGAGCGTACATTCTTCCTCTGGCACACACAGATCTTGGGACGCTCCATGCAGTCTTAGCGCTCGCATCATGCCACCAACACTCCTCAAGGGCTCACAGGCCAACAAACAAAAGAGATGTTACGGCGATGTTCGAGCACCAACTGGCTGGGATGCAGTCACTAGGCTCCCTGCTGATCAGAGAGGAATTGTACGGGCTCAACGCGGAAGAGGTCGATATCCTTCTCGCCACAGTACTCCTCCTTGTTCTCTACGACGTGAGTCAACATTTACCCTCTGTGGCTCGAAAGTATGCTTATGGGATTAGATCTGTGAGTCGGGAATTTGCTCACATGGGGTGCATCTAACCGGCACCGCCTACATCTGCCGCAAAATCTGCCAACAGCCGATAGCAACGGTTTCCCCACGCACGGCCTTTCTGATAACCATCCTAGCCTGGTAGGTTCCACCCAGGTGTCTTGTGGTTCATGGGCAAATACTGAAGCAATCTCAACGGAAGGCTGGATCTACTCCGAGGGTTCAGCGGGGCCGAGGAATTGGCCGAGGAATTGGCCTACGATGACGGCACACACCAGCACGTCCGAGATTTCGATCACATCAGCCTTTCCGAAACGTTCGGATGCCCCGGCGAGCTCTTCTACCGCATCAGCGGGGTCATCAACTCTGGTCAACAATACTTGGCCGGAACGCTATCTGTGTCCGAGTTTGAGCACATCCTGGAGGCCGCGGCACAATTCTTTCGAACTTGGGACGCCGATAGCGAGAAGAGAGCTGCCCTAGGTTCTGAACAAAAGGCCCTGGCTGAAGCGTACCGCCACACGTGTATCATCCGCGTCCTACGCTTCCCCGACACTTGGCGGATTCCATGCGAGGACCCAATGATCGCAGCGTCAGTTGTGGGGATCCTCGACGCAGCCGCCAGCATCCCCACAGCATCGCCCTGTTTCAAGCGGCCCCTGTTCCCGCTCTTTATCGCGGGCGCTGAAACGTCCGTGCCGCACCAGCAGCGGTTTCGTAGAGTTGTGCATTGGTGAGATCAAGCGGACGACGGGGTTTCAGTATGTCGCTATGACAGAGATCCTGGGCAAGGTGTGGGAGGAGAGGTCGCGACAGGTGGACCGGTCTCGAAATGTGCCTTGGATGGAGTATGTAAGTGCTGTTCTTGTCTCTGCGTGTTGTGCTTCTCGGGTGATTTGTCGTAGACTCTAATCGGGGTATTAGACGTGCTCGGTGGATCTGGTCCGGCAGCATGATTATCTCTTCTTCTAGTCGATGCTTGTCGGCATTGGTGCCAATTGCGGGAGTTGCCTTCGGCTTGTACTTAACAGACTGCGCATCAAGTCAATCTACACTTGGATTGCGTCTCTGGGGCGATCTCTCCTTACAGACCAATGTTAGTGGAGCCTAGGCTGTCTGTTCTGTATGTGGCAACCAATCGTGATTGACTAAAAACTGATCACCTGGGCTGAATTGTACCCCACGAAAACTGCTGGCAAGTGCCAAGGATTCCTGTCGCGATACTCGTACGCATGTCCGGTTTGGGCAAGCGATACGAAGTCAACAATATCACCACTGCATGCACGAAACCGTGGACGTGAGTGCCGCTTTCTATTTTCTGCGGATGTCTGCCTATCTTATTAGACAATATTCGAAGACAAAATTATCGATGGCGGCGTAGTCTGAGTTACATATGATGGTCCACGTATATAAAGCGTGCCATTCTCGAACAAGCATTCTAATTTCCTCACCACTCATCTACACCCAAGTTACTACTTATCACCCTCAAAACAGCACACCCACAAGCCATGATCAACCTTGCCCTCGACAACCACCCGCGCTTCAAGCTACGCCTGCACATCATAATCGGCTCTCTGATCACCCTAACCTTCATCCTGATCATCGCCCGGGTCGCCGATAAAGGCACCCCGCCGACGCGGACTAATACCTGGGGCATCGCAGTAGTGAGGGCTCCCCTCCACCCGCACCCATGCCAAATCCCACCCATACCACTGCTAATACTGTTCTACGTAGTGCATAAAAGCCGCCCTCTTCCTAGCCTACCAAACCCTCACCACCTACCACGAGCGCTTTAAACGATGGGCCAGCCCCCGCGCCAACATGATCCTGGACATCATCGACACGATCTTCTGGTTTGCCTTGTTCATTATCAGCATCATGGGCGCGAGTGGGGGGCATAGTACGAGCAGTAAGGCGCTGGGGGGGATTGTGGCCGTGCTGGCGCTGGGATTGTGGTGAGTCTTTCCGAATTCTTCTCCTGGTGGTGGGCGGGGTGACTGATCAGGACGGTACAGTGGGGTGGTTGGATTGTTGGCCTTTGTGTGTGTGCAGGATTGGAGGTATTTCAAGGTGCACGGGGTTGTGCCGGGGGTGGTGAAGTCGCCTTGTTGAGGGGGGTTTGGAACTACGACGAGAATGTAGGGTATGAGATGCGGAAATGCTTGGAGATGATGGAAAAAGAAATATTCGAATGCAGGGAAGTGTGGCAGCCCGGATTCGAACGCGGGTCGACTCGCTTACTCACGTGATTGTGTGGTACTCAACACGTACAGTGATGTGTAAGTTACAGTATTGCCATGGCACTCTGATATCGCATGGCGTGTAAAAGTATCAGTAAGTATCGATACGCACACTCTCTGCCCTCCACACGTTGATCCACAGTGATCGGAGAGATCAACACGGATTGAAATGAGGTCTGGGTCATTGAAGTCATCGTCAGACCGTCGATCTGCAAACAGACCATGCGAAGTGACCGATCCGCCACCTGCAGCCCGATCGGTGGGCTACGAAGCCATCTGGAACGTATGGCCCATCCACTCCCCAACTCTATCCACATACTGGTGAAGCCTAGATGAGGTCATCTAGTCCATTTAGTGTTTGCGAGGCAGTGCTTCAACAACAGCAACTCGAGAAATTCATCCTATTTAAGGGGAAACCTAGCCCAGCATTTCTTTCGATGCTCTCAGTGAGAAACGTTTTTGCCCACTTCAACACCCCAGTCATAGCTTAAACGTTTACTCGATATTAGAGCCAGCAACAGCACACCACCGCCAGAATGAAAGAATTGGTTAGTCCCGACTGCCGCCATTCGAAACTTGTTCTTTCTACTTACCTTACCATTGCAAGTAGACTTTCGACGTTCGCTATGATAATGAGTTGGCCCATGAATACTATGGGGATGGGTCCAAGCTGGCGGGCAGGTAAGGCCAAGCCAGCCATTAAGCACTAATGAGATAGTGTTCATTAGTGGGTGAGCTGCTGATCTGAGCGGTCGTCCCTTAGGCTTCGAGATATCTACAAAGCCAAGCACCTGCAAATCCCGGATGAGTTCGATTCTACATTGACCTCCCCGCCCATCCACTTCATGTCGTAAGTCTGACCAGATTGGCGGAGTGGCTGTGAGGTAAAACTGACGGTGCTTAGAGTCTCTGCGCCGGACGATGTGGATATGGATGATCTCCGGCAGGTCAATGTGCCTCCGGGTCTGAATATTGAGATCTTGGACCTCGAGGAGTGAAGAGGGCGGGGGCATTGCACAGATCACGGTACGCCCATCGAATAGGCGGCCAATTGTTTTTAATTGTGATGGAGCAAGCCACATGTAGTTTGATGAATGAAATTTATGTGATTTTATGATTTGTGATTTGTAATTCCTAGGTATATTTAACTATATGCACCGAACCATTTACGGTCGACAGGGGAGTTAGCGTATGTTAGCGTGTTTTATCACTTTTTATCTCCCTACTAATAACTAAACATTATTATTAAACTACACTCGCATCTAACTAACTAGCCTTATGTCCAAGCTCCCTCTCTCCTTTTTTCTTTCCAACTCCACCCAACCGCTTGTTCTGTCTTCTCCCCGGGGTAAGACCCGCTGAAACCACCCACTGTGAGATACTATCATGTCTTCCACCCCATCGTCGTCGTCATCATCACTACCATCCTCAACTCTCTATGACACAAACCATAAAAGACGCAAGATTCGAAAAGGGACCTTTTCCTGCTGGGAATGTAAGCATCGAAAGAGACGATGCATCTTCGAGCCCGCCAGCAACCCCAGCTGTGTGTATTGCGACAGCCGAGGGCTGCAATGCATTAGCCAAGCCTTTGCCGATCCATCCAGCAGCAGCAACAACAACAACAACTATGAGCAGGTTGAGGACCGTATCCAGCACATCGAATCGCTCGTGGACTATCTACTTCGCCAGCGAAAGAATGCCCCTCCAACCAAATCACAGCGACAGGCTGCAGCGAGGATCTCAGGGGACAAGCCCCCCCTGTTGAGCCAGCCCGGGCTCGATGCAGAAGCCGCCTCCTTTGCTGTCATCAACCCAGTTGGCAATCGGCACACACCCACTCGGTCGCTGGGGAGCTTTCTCCTCTCATATATTCCTCCTCCCTCCACTGCGTTCATGATTCTAACCAAGGGCAAATTCTTCTATTTTCCATTCACGCTTGTGCAGTCGCCCCGGGTAAGCCGCCCACCGGCGACAATCGAAGCAGCGAAGCCCGATGCGGCCCTGGAACTGCCATCGTCGACCACACCACCGGTCGACCTGGCCCGTAAGCTGGTGCAGCTGGCTCTAGGGCTGCAGCAACTCAGCCTGACGTCCTCCCGCGAGGTCCAGCTCCAACTGAGGGAATCACCGGGAGCCGCTGCCCAGCGCTATCTCACGGTCGCTAGTCGCCATGTCACGTCCGACAACGAGCTCGTCTGCTCGCTGGAGGGGCTGGACACTCTCATGCTCGAGGCTCGCTATCACATCAACGCAGGAACCATGCGGTCGGCGTGGCTCATCTTCCGTCGGGCCCTCAGCGTGGCACAGATGCTGGGCTACCCCCAGCGGCTCCAGCAAGCGAACCAGAAAACGCAGGCTCTCTTCTTCCGACTGGTGTATTGCGATCGGTTCTTGTCGCTCATCCTCGGTCTGCCTCTTTCGCTGTCGGACAACAGTTTTGCAGACGAGCATTTCATGGCGAAGCTCTCGCCGTTCGACAGACTGGAGCGCATGCACGTTGTTCTGGCGGGCCGAATCGCTGATCGGAACATGCGCATGCTGCCTCGCTTTGCCTCGATCGGGCAACGGGAAGAAGCTGGATTCGATGATTACAAAGAGACCGACGACATCGACTACGAATTGAGGAAAGCGATCCGATATTTGCCGATCGCGTGGTGGGATCCGCCGGTGCTGGAGAACCAGGTGACCGAGGAGGAGAAAATGGGTGCCATTGCTCAGATCATCACCCAGATGCACCACCATTACCTTCTCATCCTGCTCTATCAGCCATACTTTGTTCAACATCTGGGACGCTCCCGCGAGGCTGACAGCGTGATATCCGTCCTGTCGGCCGGGGACCATGGGTACAAAAAGCTCGCCATCCTCTCCGCCAGCCGGGAAGTGCTGACGCGATGCCTGGCCTTCCGAGATGAGCACCCGATGATGTCCTATCATGGGCTGGACAACAAGGCCTTCGTTGCGGCCACGGCTCTCTTGATCATCCATATCGACGGACATAATCTGGGCCGTGCGAATGCACTGGAGCACCAACGGCCCTTGGATCTGAGAACTGTCGACAACGTCATCGATATCCTGGAGCAGCTCTGTACACGGAACCACCTGACAAGCCCGACGATCGGCATCGTGCGCAAACTGCGAGTGATCGAGGAGGAGGCGGCGGACGGTGCAGAGTTTTACGTCTTGCGAGCCAGCGAGGTCCCTGAGGCTGCGGAGTGCAGCCTGAAATTAGAGATCCCTTACTTTGGATCTTTCTGCATCCTGCGCCGGGCGGCCAGATCTGCTGCTGAGGTTCCGATGATGGCTGTGGCTGATCCTACTTCCATGTTCTTTGTCAACAACATGGGCTTTATTGGTGGAATGAACGACAATGCTCTTTTCTCTACTGCCAGTCAGACACAGGATCACCAGACCTACTCGGAGATGGATTTCTTCAACGCTTGGATCGGGACGCGGGACAGCACTTTCGTGCTACCGGAATCTTACACTGGACAGCAATCTGCATCACACCTGAATTAATTCTTATAAGCCAATACAGACTGATTGATCTCGTATGTACTCTGGTTTCTCTTTGCAGACGAGAAGGGCTCCAACGGCGGAGTATTCGCAAAGTCATATCCTGTCAGCGCCTGAAACCGAATCCCAGCAACCTCCTTAGCCAACAGCCGAAGTGAGCTGTCCTCATCCCCCGACACAGGTATTGAGACGCTTCCCAGGTTCTCGTCCAAGCGCTCGGGTCTCGTGGTTCCGGGAATCGCGAAAATGTCGTCGCCCTGCGCGAAGATCCAGGCCAGCGCCAGTTGCGCGGTAGTGACCCCCTTCTGTTTGGCAATGTCGGCGATTCTGTCCACCACCGTCAGGTTCTTGACGATGTTCTTCTCATGCAGCCACGGCAAGACTCCCCGCGAATCGCCGGGCCGACTGACATCCTGGCGGGAACGCAGACTGCCGCCCAACAGCCCATTTCCGAGCGGGCTGTACGCCACGATCCCCACCCCCAACTCCCGTGCGGTCTCCAGGAGTCGAATCGCGGGCGACTCGATGGCCAGGCAGAACAGACTGTATTCCACCTGCACACAGGTGACGGGGTGCACGGCATGCGCCCGGCGCAGCGACTCGGCACTGCACTCGCTCAGCCCGATAAACCTGATCTTCCCCTCCTGCTTCAACTGCACCAGGGCTTCCATTGTCTTCTCGATGGGGGTGATCTTATCCAAGCGATGGACATAGTACAGGTCCACGTAGGGCAGGTCCAGGCGTTTCAGCGATCGTTCCAGCGACTGGCGGCAGTACTCGGGCGTCGAGTCCATCTTGTATCCGTGCGGCGACTCGGAGGAGGGGCGAATCCCGAATTTGGTGGCCAGGAAGACATTCTGGCGCTTGTCCGGGTTCGCCGCGAACCATTTCCCGAGGATCTCTTCGGACGCACCGTACTTATCCGCTGAAATGGCCGTCAGCAATTTCATTCCATTCCTGTCCCTTTCACCCTCCTCGAGCTCTGTGCTACGGCATGCATCGCATCTGGAACCACATACCGGTATCCCAGAACGTCTCGCCCTTGGCGTATGCCTCGTCCAGCAATCTCAGCATCTTGTCCTCATCCAGCGGCATACCGTATACGCCACTGGCGCCCATCAGCCCCAAGCCGATGCGCGGAAGCAGAGGCCCGTGTCTACCCAGCGGACGGGTTGGCAATTTGTCCGGAGTCGCCATTGTCGATGTTCAATGGGGGAGGCTTGGTTGGCGGTGAATCGATTCGGGAACACGGGCTTAACCTTCTTCAAGGGGCCTAACCGCACGGTTCGATATAAGACATAGAGACAGCCGGCGATTGCGGTGGATATTGAGTCCCAGCTCCCTGTCACTGATTTTATCTCCGCCGCTTAACTCCACCACTGTCTCCGGAGTTGAAATCTGGCCAATGCCGAGACGACCACCGCATTGGCAACCACCTCAGCCACCACGATCAGATATGATCACGATCTGTCGTTATTCGATGCCAGCACGATCAGCGACCGACTTCACGACAAGCGGGAGACTTACATGGTCAGCCACGCTCATCTTGAGTCACGTGAAATCAGCCATACACGCCAAGATGGACTACTATCTGAGGGTAGGGTAACGTAGCAACCCAGATGACAGAGTCGCTCAATGACAAAGAGTCTGTGTCGCTCATATGAGCGAGAACCAACACGAGGTACAACCAAGTCCGTCCTCCTGCGGGAGTGGTGAGGTCATCCCGGCGCACAGAGTTTCGGTACAACCACCACACTCTTATAAAGACAGACGGTCGCGAGCAGTGTCAACTTAACACAACACACAACCACTTTGACCTGTGTAATAGCAAAGATGGTCCATCTTTCATCAATTGCCAAGGAACCTCAAACCCACCGTCATCGGCGGGAGAAGCGTGAAGCGGAGGCATCCGAGGCGTCAGCCAATGTCTACGGGACACACTACGCGGTGGAGGAGCTGCCCGAGCATGCGATGTCGGAGCAGGAGATGCCGGCCAGCGTCGCATACCGGATGATCAAGGATGAGCTGAGTCTCGATGGCAATCCGCTGCTCAAGTAACATGCCCTTCTCTGCACTTCGCTTGGAAGCGATGATAACCTTATCGCAGTCTGGCGAGCTTCGTCACCACCTACATGGTCGGTCGCCCCCTCCCCACCGTCCGGACGCACCGTGGGCCGCTGCATGTTGCTAAAGCACACACAGGAAGACGAAGTGCAAACCCTGATGTCGGACGCGATGAGCAAAAACTTCATCGACTACGAGCAGTACCCGCAATCGGCGCACATCCAGAACCGGTGTGTGAACATGATCGCGGGGCTGTTCCACGCCCCGACGACGGGACAGGCGGGGTCGGAGCAGGACGCGATCGGGACGTCGACGGTCGGGTCGTCGGAGGCGATCATGCTGGCGATGCTGGCGATGAAGAAGCGCTGGCAGAACCGGCGCAAGGCGGCGGGCCAGGACTGGTCGCGGCCGAACATCATCATGAACAGCGCGGTGCAGGTCTGCTGGGAGAAGGCGGCGCGGTACTTCGAGGTAGAGGAGAAGTACGTCTACTGCACCGAGACCCGGTACGTCATCGACCCGGCCACCGCGGTCGACCTGGTCGACGAGAACACCGTCGGCATCTGCGCCATCCTGGGCACCACTTACACGGGCCAGTACGAGGACGTCAAGGCGATCAATGATCTGCTGGTCGCCAAAAATATCGACTGCCCGATCCATGTGGATGCCGCCAGTGGCGGGTTCGTCGTGCCGTTTGTGAAACCGGAGCTGGAATGGGACTTTCGATTGGAGAAGGTCGTCTCGATCAATGTCTCAGGCCATAAATATGGATTGGTAGGTTTGGCTGCTTACCTCGAACACACCGGATAGAGCTCAAACTTGACCAATCATGATGCTATTTAGCAAGGGACTTGACTTGAGTCAGTGGATTTAGTGCTGACACGGACTCTCTCTCTCTCCCCCCACAGGTCTATCCCGGCGTCGGGTGGGTCTTCTGGCGTGCCCCGGAGTATCTGCCCAAAGAGTTGATCTTCAACATCAACTATCTCGGCGCGGATCAAGCCAGCTTCACCTTAAACTTCTCGAAAGGCGCCTCGCATGTCATTGGCCAATATTATCAGCTGATCCGACTGGGCAAGCATGGTTATCGCTCAATCATGACCAACCTGACTCAAATCGCCGACTACCTGGCCTCAGAGCTGGAGAAACTGGGCTTCATCATCATGAGCGAGGGCAACGGTCGCGGTCTTCCCCTAGTTGCGTACCGGTTGCCCGAAGAGGAGGGCCGTCTCTACGACGAGTTCTCCCTGGCGCATGTGCTGCGGCGGCGGGGATGGGTGATCCCCGCCTACACCATGGCCCCCAACTGCAACGAGCTGAAGATGATGCGGATTGTCCTGCGCGAGGACTTCAGCATCCATCGCTGTAACCTGCTGGTGGAGGACATCCGCCAGGCGCTGAAGTCGCTCGAGGAGATGGACGAGACGATGATCAAGCGATACAGCACCTACGTCCAGACGCATGCGACCCGCGGGCCCCAAGGCCACCCGGTCTACAGAGATGAAAAACATTCGCTCCAGGGTAAGACCGGAAAGACGCACGCGGTTTGCTGAGTGAATTCGTTTTTGTTTGGGCTTGGTTTATGCGCCAATTAAGTTTTGCGACCGGTGACAAGTCAGAGGGAAGCTATACATAGGTACATGTACTGTAGTAAGTTAGTGGCTCAGTTCCGCCCACACAACGGACGGACTTCGTATTTGTTCTTGGAAGAAAAACAGAGTGAATGCACACCACCACAATTTGTCAGAGCCAAGTCATCCGTCTACTGCACAGGAAAATTAATTGAAAGTTGCATTGGACTGGTGGCGAAGCAGTAAAAAAAATCATTCCATGCGTAGGATGGATGCAACAGTTGCATGGTAGTGTTCTTTGCCGCTGTCCGAACGGCGAGCGGCGAACTCGTGCTCGCCGACGTCAAAGCTGCACCTCGTCCTGCAACTTTCTGCTTTCTTACGTAGACTCCCTTCGAAGTCGCATGATTCATTATGGGAATATCGGTAAGAGCTGTCTGCCAACGGCCACCGGTTGTGCAGGCGTCGGGAACTCGGAAACTCGGCTGGAGCGATTTTCGCGACTAAGAGGCTCCACCGTTCCCTTTTTTCTGTGGTTTCTTCCCCACGGGAGCCGGTGAGCGTCGCAGCTCTTGGCCAGCGTGTCTGATGTCTACTCAGTACTGACTACCTAGTTATCAACAGCTACAGGCCTACGTCTATACTATGATCTCCCCACATCGGCCACCCACTAGATGTGAATCACGGTGGCGTAGGGCCAACCAATATCCGCTCTGGGCTTGATTCATGATGCTGGAAAGTGTCTTGGGGAAGAAGAATGTGAGACCTTTTTCGTATTCCATTATAGCACTGAAACAATACAACAACACAATTATCCAGTGGGTTTCCACCACATTCAATGGGCTTTCACAACAGTACGTGAGGAGACGCGCCCTTCCCCCCCAAAAAAGGGACCTGTCATACATTGATCGCCGTGGTTAGGGTTTTGTTTCCGCCTTTGGCCTCAATGCCCTCCCCCCCCCAAGAAAGGATGATGGCGCCGGACACCTCACATTCGATGGTCCATCCTCAGCAACAATAATACGCCTCCCCAATGCAGTAGCCTGGAGGTCTATGCTGCAATAATTGGCTCCACTCTCTCGAACCATTTGTCTTGTGCCCTGTCAATCAATCCGGGGTTTAGTCGTTTGTCCCCCATTCGCGCAGCAACAACTCGGAGGGGTGGTGGGTGTTCGCAGCTGCGTGTTTTCTGTCTGTCTGTTTAGACATCCACCTGATGGAGGAGTGGACATCCACTGGTGGTCCTTGTCCTCCAATGATTCATTCGCAAGCGAGGGGAGCTTTCACTGATAAAAATCTTCTCTCTTTTTTTTTTAGTTTGGTGAAGGTATGCTTGAGGATCATTGCCGACAGACCGCTTCCAATAGCTCACGCAACTGGGGGCAACACCGGATCCTCTTCCCTTTTCTCCCGGATTCGCCTTGTCTCTGACAGGTGGTGCTCAGGCCGTGCAACTCAAGTGTGGAAACAGAAAACTCAATTAGGCTGTCTACTGTAAATACTATATTTGTTTGTGGCCCATTGAGGAAATACCTTTACGGGCTAGTCCCCCTGAATATCAGGATGGATTGTACAGAGTCGAACGCGAGCTGGCCGGGCTCCGGTGGCCCATATCAACTCAGACATCCCCATCCCATTCTGCTTTTCTTCTGCTGGGTTGTTCTCGGGTCTTTGGGATACTGTACGGACTGTTACGTTGAGGTCTTGTGTTCGTATCTCGCACGGGTACAGTACTATGGCATTGATCATTGCCCTGGTGGTAGCATTAGCCTGCCATGTGCAGGCTAAGGCTGTCTTTGCTCACTTCATGGTTTGGCTCTCTCTTTCTCTCTCTCTTCTCCTTTCTCTACATTCCCCTCGGCTTGAATAAAGACACCTTGCTAACAGGCATCCGATGCACAGGTGGCCAACAGTCAGAACTTCACGATCGATAACTGGAAGGAAGACATCACGCTGGCGCAGGCGGCCAAGATCGACGCCTTCGCGCTGAACATGGGGTACGGCAGCCCGTACGCGGGCCAGATCCTGAACGACGCGTTCACGGCGGCGGCGGACCTGGACTTCAAGCTGTTCTTCTCGCTGGACTACAGCGGGGACGGCCACTGGCCGCAGGACCAGGTCATCACGTGGCTGAGCAACTACACCAAGCTGCCGGCGTACTACAAGCACAACGAGGAAACGCCGCTGGTGTCGACCTTCGAGGGCTACGAGGCGCAGGGCGACTGGGTCAACATCAAGAAGAAGGTGGACTGCTTCTTCGTGCCGGACTGGTCCAGCGTGCTGCCGGAGAAGCTGGCGGCGGCGACGGTGGCGGACGGGCTGATGAGCTGGAACGCCTGGCCCGACGGCACGGCGGCGATGAACACCTCGATGGACGAGCGCTACCTGTCCGTGCTGAAGTCCTCCAACGGCACCGACCGCCCCTACATCATGCCCGTCTCCCCCTGGTTCTACACCAACATGGTCCGCTACAACAAGAACTGGGTCTGGCAGGGCGACGACCTGTGGTACACCCGCTGGAAGCAGGTCGCCGAGCTCGAGCCCGAGTACGTCGAGATCCTGACCTGGAACGACTTCGGCGAGTCGCACTACATCGGTCCCATCCATGAGCACGACCTCGGCACCTTCGTCTCCGGCGGCGCCCCCTTCGACTACGCCGTCGGCATGCCGCACGACGGCTGGCGCGCCTTCCTGCCCTATGTCATCGACGAGTACAAGAACGGCGGCGACGGCACTTCGGCCATCGAGTCCGAGGGGCTCGTTGCCTGGTACCGCCTCTCGCCGTCGTGGGCCTGCTCCACCGGCAAGACGACGGGCAACACCGCCTCGCAGGGCCAGACCGTCCTGCCGCCGGGCGAGGTGCTCACGGACGCGATCTTCTTCTCGGCGCTGCTCGAGTCCGCCGCCGAGGTGTCCGTCAGCATCGACGGCCAGTCGGAGTCGGTCGACTGGTCCGACACCCCCGGCGGCGACAGGGGGATGTACTTCGGCTCGGTGCCCATGGACAACCGCACCGGCGAGGTCATCGTCACCCTCACGCGCGACGGCAAGGAACTCACCCGCGTCGCCGGCCAGCCCATCCGCACCACCTGCGCCAACAACAACATGACCAACTGGAACGCCTGGGTGGGCAGCAACCTGACCAGCCTGGCCGCCGGCAATGGCTCGAGCAACGGCACCTCCAAGGAATCCGGCGCCGCCGCCGCCTGGTCGTCGACGAGGGCGGAGTTGCGGGGGTTGCTGATTCCCGTGCTGATCGTCTGGTTGGGGTTGGGGTTCGTGCTATAACAAGGAAAAAGTAATGTCATCCCGTTTGTATTATGATCGTCATGCCCGCCGGGGAGGAAAGAATATGTGGGGAGCAGGAAGCTGGGGGAGGAGTTTGATGATGATAGATCTTGGATATTGATGATGTCCTCTTCAACTGTATCTATGTATGACGCTTGACTTGGTGTTTGATATCTGGTTTGGGTGTCTCTTATGTTAATATCTAATTTTTCAGTTTTTCTATTCTGGTCGTCACAAAACTCCGGTGATGATCGCGGGGTTGTGGCTTCTGCGCTGTCCTGGTTTGGATGTCGCGTTGTCCCTGCCAGTGAGCGTGCGAGTGTCGGTTTCCTATCTCCGTAGACAGGAACTGTTGATCGCAGGTTTCGATCGTCCACCCCCTTATCTGCGTCAGTTGAGATTGACTTTGCGACGGCGGCTTGGCCCGACAGTGCTCACTGGCGTTTCGTGCAAGATCAAGGGGGATCCCTTGCTGGAGATCCGTGGTCGAGGCTGGAATGTTAGGGTCCAGTTGCCGCTTGCGGAAATCCGCTCGCCGCCTATCTACGCCCGTCAACCATGGGCTGGGTCGTGGGGATGTCGGCGTCGCCGATGGGGGGACGTGCACTGTTGCTGGCTTAGCTTATCTCTTATCTCTTTGACTGTCGCTGCGGCTCTCTGGAGAGCGAGCTGCTGCTGGGGTTGGGTTCCTTTGTTGCTGTCCAAAGTCAAAGACCTTGGTCCCATGGTAGTGAGCCCGCGAGAAAGCTAGACGGGTGCTGGTCGCCCCAGTGCTTGCTCGCCTGCCTCCTGCCTAATTCGGCGAGTACATGATTCAAGAGTGTTGTTTGCGATGTTTGCTGCTAATGATACACCCTGTCTGATCTGATTTCTGGTGTTGCTGGGGATCTGCACTGATTGCGCCGAGCATGAGCGAGCAGGTCCTGGTGTGGGGGATGCGACGGTGCAATATGTGCAGTGGGGTAAAAATATGCCCCACGGCGGCCATCGAGTTTCTGCAGCATCTCCATGCGTGCAGAAGTGACGAACAAGCAACTTGAATAAGGCTTATTGCACAATATTGAGGAGATGAATGCAATAGTAGTCGTCTTGTCAGACATCTTGTCGGAACCTCGTCAAGGCTATCCGCATTGGGATAGGGTTACATTCCACCAGGTGACAAAGACTTTTCGACTCTTCATTCCCTTCATCCCTTCCCATCCCCGCGTGCAGCCTCGGCCACCCAGTCTGGCCCCAGGCGGGCCCAGCCCACAATAGCCCTCTCTCGATGGCGACCAAGTCGTATGATTCGATCGAGCAGAACGAACTCTGCCGGAAACCCTTATCGATAGACTCGATAGCCAGGCGACCACCCCGGGGGAACCCGCAAGTCTATGACGCATATGACACCCTTGGCTCGCCACCCGACAGCGCAAGCCGACCAATCCTCGATTGTCTGGGGGATCAGCACTGACCAGTTCCAGACGGGTCATCCGGGGCTGAGTTTAATCGTTTGGAATAGTCTTTGCATCGTTCACACGGCCGACGAGGGTCCCCGGTTCCGACAGGCGCAGGGGACAGACAAAGCCTGGACCACCGGCGTCGGCCGACATCAAGCCCTAACCACAGTACTGCAACAGCAACAGGGGTTGGTGAAGACGGGTGCTCGAGCCATCGTGCTCCACTGGGTCCGCTTGAAGGATCCATAAGCTTCATGCAGACGGACATCCCCCTCCTTTGTTGCTTGCCCTGCAGGGTCCGGGGAGAGGGTATAAAGTATCCCCTGACCACCCCCTCGGTCCCTGAATCAGGGGAGTACAAATCTTCAGACATTCACACGATCAGACATGTTAATACGAGACGAAACACAACCCGCGTGCTAGAAATCTTCATTGAATACAGCCTGATGCTGCCTATCCTTTGCACTAGCCTTCCTTGATACTTCACAAGCCACGAACTTCACCGTCAACTACAACCTCATACCTCACACTTTGCAACAAATCCTCAATTCCATTCATATACTCATTCACAACCTCAAGACAACCAAGATAATCATCATGGAAGCCCCCCATCTCTTCCGCCACGCCTCCCGCCTCACCTCTCCCTCCACCACCACCGTCAACACCCGCATCCCCCCCATCGCCCGCCGCACCGCCACCACCACCACCACCACCACCACCACCACATCCTCCTCAGGTGCCTCCACAATAATCCCCACACACATCGTCCTTCTCTCGCGCAACAAACTCCAGCGCGAGACCGCCACCAAGAGCCCCGACCTCCGCCGCTGCCTCGCGCACCAGCGCCTCCTACACCGGTCCATCGAAGCGGCCCAACAAGCCGTCCGCGCCCAGATGGCCGCCTTCTCCCTCGAAGACGAGGACACCATCGACGAGGAGGAGGAATTCGACGACCCCCGCTCCTACACCAGCTCGCCCATCCAGACAGCCCAACCAGTCACCGTGATCCGCGAACAGATCACCGGGGCCGTTCGGGCGATGGTCCGACGGCGCTCTGCCTCCGCCTCTGCCTCCGCCTCTACACCTACATCCTCTTCCGCTGGCCCCGCTACCGCTACCGCGCAGAAACACAACGCAGCCGGACTCAAGCGCGTACCATCACAACAGAATCTTCTGGCCGCCTGCAACGGCAGCGGGGACGTGAATCTGGTCAGCGAAGAGGGCCCTCGACAAGCGTCCGTTGCTGTTGCCGTGGGGGGCCCGGCGGTGCTGCGGAAGACCAAGCGATATACGTCGCGGATTGTGTTTGGGCGGCGGCGGTGGCCGCTCTACGGGCATGGGCATGGGCATGCCCCGCAGCAGCCTGCGCTGGTTAGCTGACACGGGTTGTGTCGGTGGTTGTTTACTTGTCGTATTGTAGTAGATGGTACTGGGATAGATGGCCATGTCTGTTGGGGTGTTGTATATTTACTTCGTGGGCAGGTGCCCTGCATTTCGATAGTATAATATTTATTTTTATTGTGAACGATGTGTTTTCGCGGAGTGCGCTGGGGTGGTGGATTCGCCACTAGCTTGCCACTTAGAATTTGTAGATCTCGATGTGCATGAGAATTGTGTGCATGATGCTGCTGACTAGTAGTTGTATGCGACCAATGAAAGTGCACGATCCAGTGGAACTAAACTCATACCACTGCGCATAACATGCATAGGTAGGTAATAGGTAGGTAGTGCCATGAGTTGCATCCACATTTGTTTGAACTAGTCGTTCAACACTGTCACCCCGCCTATCCTCGCCCTACACACCAATATACCCCACCTTCATCTTCCCACACCCTTACACCTTACACCTTACACCTTACACCTTACACCTCCTCAACCAACGGCACGACCTACTTCGACACATCCAACTCCTCGATCCCCTTCGCGGCCCGCTCCTTCCAATCCTCGCGCCACCGCGTCAACGCCGGCCGATCATGCACCACATCCCCACAGGCCCAGGCAATGCGTTTTTTATCCAACTCCTCGCTGACCTCGTTATCGGGGCAGATGATATAGAAACTCCCGGCGGCCATCCGGCGCACCATGAACGCGACCGTCTCCTGGGGCGTCCAGCACCCGGCCGGCTTGGTGGGGAAATGCGTCTGCATCATGCCGGTGTACACCCAGCCGGGCACGAGCAGATGCACGCCGACCTGCGGGTGGGTTCTGTGGAGGTCGAATGCGAGATGCTCGGCGATGGTCTTGACGGCGCTCTTGGAGGCGTTGTACGCCGGGTTGCCGGGGGGGTTGGTGATGCCTTGCTTGGAGCCGGTGAGGATGATCGCGCGGGGGTTTTGGTTTGGTGTGGTGGTGGTGGTGGTGGTGACGCTGTCGAGGAAGGCGGCCAGTCCGTTCGTGTAGCCGAAGGTGTTGGTCGCGAAGGTCGTCTCGAAGTAACTCGGGTCCTGCCAGGGGGTTTTGCCGGGGGCTGGTCGGGCGAGGCGCCCCGCGTTGAGCATGAGGAGGTCGATGCCGTCCGGGTAGAGGTGGTGGATGGTCGGCTTGAGGCGCTCCCAGGCTGCTTGCTGGGACACGTCGAGGACGAAGGTGTGGATTTTGGTGGTCGATTGGGGCTGGTCCAGCGCGTTGGCGGCCTCGGTCAGCTTGGCGGGGTCGATGTCCACCAGGATCAGGTTCATCCCCTGCTGGTGGCAGTGTTGCGCGGTCGCGAAGCCGATCCCGGAGGCGGCGCCGGTGATGAGGGCTGTGGCCCCGGGGCGGAAGACGGAGGGTGGGGCTGTCATGATGTTTGATGTTTGATGTTTCTCGGTGTATGGTTATGGTGTTTGGGGAGCTCCGTGAGGGAGGGTGAGATGGTTATAAGTTAAATGACAAGTTGTACGCTACTCATCAGTTGTTTACTTGATTGCGGGGTTGCTGACGGCGATCACCCGGTGATAAGCGTGTTTATCGCCGTCTGACATGCATAGCATAGTGCACAGTAGCATAGCATAAGATTCCACATAGTAGTTACTGCACGTTCTGGTTCACGAATGCAATTGCTTTACATGGAACCTCAGGATGTTCTGTGTTGATCTGCAAGGATTGCTGTACTATTTTGAATTCATACCCAGTAGGTTTGACTCGGATGTGAGAGAGACGATGGATCAGAGACGAAAGTCTCGTTCCCGGTGTCAGCCGCTGTTGGACTGTCAATATGTATCTGTTCCTGCACGAGTAGTACGTGTACTACCCCGCACATATGCTTATTACGCTATACTAGTAGTAGGAAGACCCCAATCAATGTATATTCGTCTAAGATCCGATCTCAGTGGCAGATTATCCCTAACATCGGATACAATAACCACAAGAATGAGTAAAGTGGTCTTCACCCTCATGCTGGGGCTACATGACGGTTCCGTGCAATAAGAAACTTGCCGCAGCGGCAGAAACACGCAGGCGGTGAAAAGATGCTCAAAGCATCTTTGCCGGGTTTTCCATTCGCCAGCCGTCCATGAGTCTAGACCCGGTCGCAAAAATCTCGGTGAGCCCATGGTCGCTGCATTGAGTCCCCACCATCAAAGACCGGGTAATTCCGGCCGAAATGACATTGATCCGGTCTGCGACAAATGACAGTGACCTGGATTGCCTAGCAGTAGCAGTGGCTGTCAGTCATTCTTGTCCACGGTGTCCTTCAAGATGGCCAAGTTGGGCAGGAGTGTTGCTGTACCTCCACAGACCTACACAGGCTGAATCAGGAAGGTGCGCGACAACGCCCGGAGTATAAACCCCCCCCCACCCCCCTCGCCCCCGATTCTCGTCCGACTTTTTTCCTTCCTGCGCTCGCCTCAGCAGCATTCACTCATCGCCTCGTATTCCAACCACCACTATGTAGAGTAAATCTGTCCATTGTGCTCATAACATCCGAGCAGAGTATCACAGAAGTAAAAATGTATTGGATATCATCTATATGTACAAGCAAATCTTGATATATGTATATGTATATGTATCATAGTCCCCATCAACCTCAACCTGTGTCTCTCATCCCGGCTGCACCGGCTGCACCAACCCATCCAACGACTTGGCCAATTCAATCGACCTCGCCAAGATCCCCTTCTCCTCGTCCGTCAAATCCCTAACAACCCCATTGACCATACAGCTCTGATCCTGCTTCCGCTCCCCCTTGATCCAGTCCGCATCGATCATCCACTTCTCCGGCACCTGATACTCATTCTCCATGCCGGGCTGGCCCTTATTCTTCAACAGACTGCCATTATACCACAGCAAGCGATCCCTGGCATCGACATGGGCGATCACAAAACTGCACACCCCACCGCCACCAGTCCCTGGCACCACGACCCCCGACTCATCCACTTCGTCCTCCCTCTCCCACCCGACAATCCCCCCATAGTGCGGCGAGAACGCATACTCCGCGCCCGCCACCTCCAACCCAAACCACCAACTCTCCTTGTCGCCATAGGTGATCTTGTACGTGGTCTCCTCGCGCACCTCGAACGAGTTCTGCCAGCAGACATGCAGCAGGCCGACCAACACATCCACGCGGCCCTTGTCCAGCACCACCAGCCCGGAATCCCCTTCCTCGGCGTACTCCTCCGTCCACACGCGCGAGGCGTTCAGCGCCCCGCTCGGCCGCCGGATCTGGTCGTGCCACCACGCGTGCCGCCCCGCGAACGCGTGCGGCCACAGCAGCCGGTCGTGGAACAGCAGCGCCCCGCGCTGCCGCACGGCCTCGTGCCCCAGCAGCACCTCCGGCCGCTGCAGGAACACCGCGTCCGCGTCCGCCAGGATCACCGTCTCGAACCGCGAGCCCAGCGCCGCGAACGCTTTGATCGCCCACCCGCCGGTCCGGAGCTGGAGGGTCGCGTCGTCGAAGACGGTCAGGATGTCGAGGAATTCGATCGCTGGGGCGGCGGCGGGGTCGGGCCCGGCCAGCGTGGCGAGGAGGCCCCGGTGGGCGGGCGAGAGGTCGGTGTCGCCCGCGTAGACGACTTGGATCGGCAGCGTCGAGTGCAGCACCGTCCGCAGCGCCCCGATCAGGTGCGCCGCGTACCGCACGGTCTTGTCGCTGGTCGGGATGACGATCCCCGCGCTTTGGGGCTCGAAGCTCGCGCGGAGGTGCGCGATGGGTTGGGTGCTCGTGGTGGGGTTGGCGGGGTGCGTGAGGAAGGGGAACTGCGCGCGGGCCACTTGTTCGACGGCGTCGGCGTAGACGGCGCGCGTGGTCGGGTTGTTGCTGGCTTGCTGGGCCAGGGTCAGCCAGTCCCGCACGATGCGCAGCCGGCGGCCTAGTTCGCCGTATTTCTCCTTGTAGGGCTTCTGGATCGGGTGGTCGGTAAAGTACTGCGTCAGGTCGGTGAGGAGGGCGGTTTCGGCCGGCGTGAGGTCGGCGACGGTGGAGGTCGAGGGGACGGCGCTGGTTTGGAGGGCTGATGTCCCCGCTGCTGGTTTGACGTCCAGGGAAGTGGTGGAGATCTGGGACCCCGGGGGGAAGAAGAGCAGGACGGAGAGAATGCAGGTCGTTGCCAAAGCGGCGATGACGAGTCGGAAGTTGCGGGGGTTGAGCAGCGTCGTCGTTAGGAGACTCATCTTCTGCGACAGCAGCAGCTTGGGCTCTGACCACGCCAGCATCTTGATGAGGCTGCAGGTCGGAAACGCATGGGCGGGCAACGGGTACTTGTGCGCAGGCGCGTCTGCTTCGGTCCGAGAGACCGGATTGTTTCTGCCTGGGAGAAAGAGGGGGGCTCAGGGAAGGTGACGTTGCCCTTCAAGCCTTTCAGGGCTGGTGTCGATCCATTGCATTGTTGAACCAGGGGGGCCATGGGGCCTGGGGTCTACTTATTCCTTGAATGCGATCACAGCCAAAGCCAATAGGGGGGCCCGCAGACAGCTGATCTCTGGAATTCAATCAGCACTAAATTAGGGCTGAAGTGCTGAGGCTTTTCCCGAGCGGCGCTGCTGGGAGATTTGCGGTGGGTCGAGCAAAATCTGAGCAAACCAGGTCCAGCCCTAAGAACACGATAGACTAGTAAGTAGTAACTTATCATAGTGCACGGGAGTTTAGGGGTGTCTTAAACCTCGTATTGCACCCGCTCGCTCACTCATATTGGAAGTGGGGGGCCACAGATTCCCATTAGACTGCTAAGCTCGCGCTCAGCAAGGCCAAGCCTCGACTGGAGTCGCGTGCCTCCATGCTATTTTCAGGGGTTTTGGCAGCTGGTTGGCCGATGAATGCGGTCATTCCAGGTTAAATTGATCGGAATATTAGTTTACCGATTGGTGGATGGGAGATGGGAATGATGGACATTATGGTCAAGGTGCAGCCACGACTACCTGCACAGCAGCGTTATCACAGCCAATCCAATGCGTTGGCAACCCCAACCACGGCGGGAGGTTCTCTACAATCGATTTCTGTGTGATTTGCCATTGCAGGCGGGAATGGCGACGGACGGACAGTCGGACGTGGGGCGAACATCCAAATGGGCCAATCTTCCCGAGCCAATTATACGACCACTTGCAGTTTTGGTTTGGTTATCGCTTATCGCCCCGGCAGAACTGATCCAATGTGAGCGGTGGCCCGGAATTTCCGAAGGATGCCGTGTCTCACACGGTCTCACACATTGGAGGCCTGTCACTTCTCCTGTCACTTTTCCTTGCCAGTCCTCTGCAGACAATCACCCAGCCAAGCCCGAACCTGTCTCAGTCCAGCTGGCACGAAGGTCGGGATGAGCCTTTGACACGAACAGTGGACCCCAGGCGTATATTGTGATGCTCCACCCATTGCTGCGCCCGCAATATGACCATCTCTGTCTCACGATCTTTTGACCACCACACAATTCCCTTGTGGCAATGCTGACGCTGATGATGGTAGTAAGTCTGCTAGATTGTCGCTCTTCGAGGGTATCCTTGAAGCAGGCGATCACTACCTCGATAAGCTTAATCATGTAACGTGATTCTTGAGCTCTCTTGGCTCACAATGCCAAATCCGAAATCTTGGCCCTAGCTCTCCCGTACGGATCTGCAAGCTAGGACCTTGACGCGGCAGATCGAGCATCCCAAGCCATGTCCCATGTCATACAGGGCAGCATGTGTCGTCAGCCGCATGACCATCGTCAATTATTGCTCCGTAGGGTGTGGGGGGTCAGCATTCGGACATCCTCACCGTGGGCCAACTTACCGGGTCAACCGGGGTGACGATCGTCGGGTCTGTGTGTTTTCTAGCATTTTCTAGCATTTTCTAGCATTTAACCAAGCCCCGACAAGATGGCAATCGGCAGAGCGGATCCGATGCTTATTTATCCTGAACGGCTTTTGATAGTGTTTTAAATCTCCGCTCTCAACGGGCAGGATCTGGGATAACCCATGTATGACAAAATAAGCAATCCTCACGGTGGGACGAATGTGACTAAGAAGCATCATGGACGCAACTCTTTCTGTAGTCTGGTTGCGCTTGCTCACCCTGAGCTATGGATCATGAGCTTTGAACATAAATTTCAGACATTGCCCGACTATCCACCTCTACCCTTCAACACTTCCTAGTAGACTATTCCTCTTCCAAGCACACTGTATCGTACTGGAGCTCCATCCCATCAAACAAAATGAGACTTTCAGCCCCCCTCCTTCTCCTCCCCACCTTCCTCACCTGCATCCTCGCCAACCCGCTCCAGATTCAAATCCTCGAGGACGACGAGGAGGCCTCTACCTCTTTCCCCGCCGACGAGAAGCATTACTGCGGCGGGCTGGGCGCGCTGTGTCAGGTCAAGACCCCTAAGCTCATCTGGATCTGCGACTGTCCCCATAAGACCAAGTGTGAGTCCCGGGTTGTTCATGCCGGTGCGAGTTACTGGTATTGCAGTGTCCCGAAGTGAGGCTTGCTGGTGAGTTGGGTCGGTGGCTGAAGCAGGGATTTCGGAGCTGATACATTCCAGATGTGGGAAGGACCAGATGGAGATATAGGTGTTGTGGGAGAGGGGTCTACGGTGCTGGCGGCGAGGCTGTAGTTTTGTCCTTGACAAAAATGTTTGTCTTTTTTTCCTTTGCTTTTTCTTTCCCTCTTTTTTTGGGCTAAATCTATATCTAATGGTGATGCCTTTGTGAATAAAATTGGGAATTTGTTTCTTTTCTTTTTCTTTGCACAGACTTGAATTATGTCATAATCTATTAGTTTACTATGCGTCGCTGGAGGCTTGATTTAGTGTCTACAACTGTCCAATTCTGTGGGTGTTATCGAATGGAGGTAACTGTTTTGTCTGAATAAGTGCAGGTTTAACACAGCCTGGAGGTAGATGTATGGCGAGCTCGTAGCCAATAGCACGCACCTCTACAGTTTCTCATCCCTGCGTTCATATCCATGACTGTAGTTGGTTGGTGCTTTCTTGGTACGGTTCACAAGATCGATGTGGAATCAGCTGCTCCCTTACCGTGAGACTGTCTTATGGAAGACTGCCAAATATTTTAAGAGGGGTTTGAAGGTGACGACTGTACGATTCTGATTACCTTCTTTAGATACAAAAGAGATTTGTGCCACTAGCCTGAACACTCCCCAAGGCCTTGCGGACAGATCCAGCAAGCATGGCAGCTGTCCGGACCAGGAGTTATCGACATGCATAGAACGGCCATGACCACCGAACGCAAAAGTGCAGATTTGAGACAGTTCCTCCCCATTCCAACCAGCAACACGCCTCAAAACATCAACGACTACTCACTATCCTCTGCGCTATCAATCTTCGTCCATGCATTACGGGGTCGAAAAGGGTTACTGAACACGCCGGGCGCCCCCACGACGTACATGGCCGCCCGCTGCCAGGTGAACGCGTAGTCGTAGCTCTTCTCACGCTCGGACGGGGAGTTGAAAGTGATGCGGAGCGGGTGGCGGTAGCGATTCTCGCGCACGGCCTCACGCCAGGTGTCGAGGAGATCGGGCCAGCTGCCGGCGCGGAAGTGGACGTAGGCCAGGCTGATTCGCTGCAGGGAGGAGCTCTCCAGGTGCGCGAGCAACTCCCGCAGGTCGTCCTCCGCCATCACCACACACATCAGGGACAGCTCGCGGAGACACGGCCACTGCACGCGGCGGACCAGCGGGCCGACATCGAACTCGTGGGCGAAGGACTGGGAATCCGGGCCCAGCATCGGCCGCAGGGCGATCTGCACGCGCTCGACACGCCGGCTGGACAGCAGCGCGTGGAGGTACTCGGTCGCCGCCGCCCGGTCGAAGGCCAGGAGCTCCCCGCGGCTGCCCGCCCACCACTCGTTCGGATCGCCGATGCTGACGCTGCGGAGGTCCTGGCAGGCGGCGCGGAGCTGGGAGAAGGAATCCAGGGTGCCCAGGTCGGGGCCGGTGGCGGACGGGAATGCGTCGACGAGTCGCAGCGAGTCGAGGGAGACGTGCTGCAGCGCACAGCCGGTGGCTTGGAGGGCGACGGGGAGCTCGAAGAGGATCCTTGCCGGCGGGTGCTCGGTGTGTCTCCAGGGCAGAGGATCGAGGAGGCGCGTGTGCAGGTGGCCGGGCTCGGGCTGGCCTTCCTTCGCATACTCCACGTAGCGTGCGTAATCCATGATGGTATTCTCGCGATCCGTCACTCCCAGCGTGATGACGTTGGGCATTCCCCCCACCGATTGGGTCACCGTTCGCACAAAGTCACCGCTGGCGATCAGCTGGTGTTGTTCCTCGTGCGCGCGGCCATACCCCGCATGGGCCCGGAGGAACGCGGCGCGATGCTCCGGCATCGTCAGACCGGCCAGGTGAGCATACGGTTCGAGCCTCGAGCGATGTTGATAGAACCGGACAAAGTCGGCGGCGAGCTCGGGGGGTCGGTAGGGCAGTCTGATCAGCACGCCACGCACCGCGCGCGCCAGGCCGGGGCAGCGGGAGAGGGCGACGAACCGGTCGAGCGATGCCTGCGACAGGCTCACCGCGACAAAGGAGAACAGGATGGGCGAGGCACACGCTTCGAACGCCCGACAGACCAGCCGCGCGTCGCAGAGGTTCTGCCGCTCGCGCTGGTACGAGTGCTCGTTGGCGTTGAGCTCCGGCCACGACCACCCGACCAGCCCGGGTTCCACGCCAGGATGGCGGAAGTACTCAAAGGCCTTGAGCAGCACCTCCGGGGGCATCTCGAGGATGGTGAGCCGCCGGATCTGGTCCCTCGACAGTTCGTTGGCGGCCGCGCGCAGCACCTTGCGTTTGTCGTCCAGCTTGTACCGCAGTCGGCGGCCTTCGCGGTGTCGCATGTTCGCCGCGGAGCCTTTGCCAGCTGCGGCCTCCCACGCCACGATGTATTGGTCGGTGCTCTCGATTTTCGACAGGACTGCGTATACGTCTGTCAGGTTGAAGTTGGCGATCTCTTCGTCGGCAGGTAACCCCGGCTCGCGCGGCGCCTGAGGGTGAACAGGGGGCTCCATGGTGACGTCTGAGCTAGAGGTTCGATACCATCAGCTAAGGAACAGAAACAGATGACAGTTTTGGAGATAACCTATTACTGGAACAAACAGGTCAACGCAATATCGATGGACGGGGTGTGTGGTGATTGGTTGTTGGAAGATGGGAGGAAGAGAACGCTCCAGGAAGGCAGATATCAGACTGTGTTATATGTGTAAGTTGATTTTCACATATGTCAGTAGGCATCGTTCTGAGTGATTCTGGTCGCCTAGCGAACCTCTCTCACATTCACTTTGAAACAGTTGATCCAAATTGGGCTGTTATCAAGGCGGTTTCTACCGGCACTATCACCACTGCACGTAACATCACCTGCTGTGTCTGCAGCAACTGGCCTTTACATACACAGCTATCATCTAGTAATGCATCTTTCTATTATTGTCTGGCTATTGCCTTTCTTATGGCGCAACATTCTTTCAGAAATTGGACTTAGGATCTAGAAAATTGAACAGACGCGTACTCTGGTGCGCATGTGATCCACAGGGTGAGGTGAGCTGGGCAGATATCAAAGACAACTCTTCCCTTATCTACTTTGCACACCATTACAAGAAGAGCTTAAGGCTCTTTGTACTGCGACAGGTTTTTTATCTACTGCTGCTACCATTATCTTCTTGATCGTGCCTCTGGTCACTGCCTGTATACACGAGCTACGTCGGGGCTATCGACACCGTGCAAAATCGGCTGCTGCAGACAGAAAACAGTAAGGTATACAAATTTTCTCCGATTATCAATTCTTATCATCTAGATAGTCAAAGCCTAACATCCGCGCTTTCAGACAGACCACTTTCTTGGTCTCAGAAGTCCGTCGGTCGGCTGCCCTGGAACATCAACACTGTTGTCAAGGTGAAACCTGTTACAGTTACACAAGCCAGAAGCGAGACAGGAATATTCTCAACAGGTCTTATGGAACAGAACTTCTGAAATTATGTATGAACTGTTGCGATATCTGATATTTTCAGAGAAGTGCGAATTCAGTTGCTGGCAAGGTAAGCGTCTGTACCGTTAAAGAGCACCCAAATAATCTATTGCACAAACTAACCTTTACAATTCTAGAAAAACCACTATACTCAGAACAAAACAATCGGTCACAGGCAAGACATCAAGTCAGAAAACCACTCCTCCCATCGCAAAGCCCCAGCAAATCCACCCTCTACACATCCAGCGCTTCCTTGACCAACCTCCCCACCTCAGCAGCCTATCCCGAAAAGCAAGTCAGCAATCACTTCCCATCCAGAATCAACCACAACGAGAAAGGAAGAAAAGAAAAGGAAACTCACCAACGGCTCTCTCATCATCGTGAAATGATTCCCCTCCATACTCACACACCGTACCTTTCCCCTCCCAACAAGTGCCTCCCACCCATTCTCCCCCAAATCGAGCCGATTCCCACACAACCATGCCATACTGTTCGGCATTCGCACCCCCTTCTCCCACTGAGGTTCCGGATCCCCCGGATTCTTGACGACCCCATCCCGGGCCCAAATCACCGTCGTCGCCGGCATCCTCCTCACATCTACCGGCATTTTCCGGGCCAACTCCTCCGAATAAGCCGTGAGTTGAGTTACCGTCGCCCGGAAATGGGGGAGCAACCACTCCGGCGTTTTCGTCTGCCCATCACCTAACAGACCAATACGATTACAGAACTCGTGGAACACGGGGGGCAGGGCCTCAAGGCCGACGGGAAAGGGGCTGTCGATGAGAACGAGCTTCTCGACGACCTCGCCCCGCGCCAGCAGCTGGCGCGTCAGCTCGTACGCCATCACCCCGCCGGCGGACCACCCGCCCAGCAGATACGGGCCCGAGGGTTGTCGGGACTTGATGGCGTGGAGGTACTGGGTCGTCACGTCGGGGACGCTGACGGTGAAGTTGTGCGGGTCCCGCATGAACGGGCTGTTCATCGCGTAGACGGCGGTGGTGTCGTCCAAGGCCGGGATCGTCGCGTAGGAGAAGGCGGCGCCGGAGCCGTCGGGGAGGAGGAAGAGCTTGCGGGTCGCGGTTTTGGGGTTGCCGGATAGTAGGATAATTGGGGCGGGGGGGAGGGACTTAGGGGGTGTTGGATTGGTGCTGGCTGGTGCTGGCTCTGGTACTGGCTTGGGAACGGGGGATGGGGATAGCCCTAATGCGCCGAGCATCCCCTCGACCGTCGGGTGTTCGATCAGGAAGTCCGGGGAGAAGGTCAGCCCTGTCTTCTCGCGCAGCGACCCCAGGATTGCCAGGCTCATCAGCGAGTCCAGCCCCATCTGCGAGAGGTCGACCGTGTCCCCGACCTCGCTGAGCTCGACCCCGAGCTCCTCGGCGATCGTCGCCCGAATGATCATCCCCGTCCGGCTGAGGGTGTCGTCGTCTTCGCTGTCGCTCAGCACGAGCACCCCCGCCTCGTCGTCGGATTCCACCGGCGTGTGCACTTTGGTCAGCTCCCCTTCGGTGGACGACTCCTTGTCAGAGGGAAAATCGGTCAACGGCGGGGTCGGCGCGGTGCTCGAGTCGGCTAGGTGCGCTTTCAGCTCCCCCACCGTGCTGAGCTCCTGGAAGATCGAGTTCCCCAGGTTGATTTCCAGCTCCTCGCGGAACCGCGCCGTGATGGACAGCGACATGAGCGAGTCGACGCCCAGATCCGCGAAGGGGATGTTGTCGCCC